GGGGGCGGGCAAACAAGTCCAGGCCATTCTGTCACTTCTTGGGCCCATCTTGGGGGGCGGGGCAAACAAGTCCAGGCCATACTGTCACTTCTTGGGCCCATCTTGGGGGGGCGGGGCAAACAAGTCCAGGCCATTCTGTCACTTCTTGGGCCCATCTTGGGGGGCGGGGTAAACAAGTCCAGGCGGGCCCATCTTGCGGGGGCGGGGCAAACAAGTCCAGGCATTCTGTCACTTCTTGGGCCCATCTTGGGGGGCGGGGGCAAACAAGCCCAGGCCATTCTGTCACTTCTTGGGCCCATCTTGGGGGGCGGGGCAAACTGTCACTTCTTGGGCCCATCTTAGGGGGCGGGGCAAACACGTCCAGGCCATTCTGTCACTTCTTGGGCCCATCTTGCGGGGCGGGGCAAACAAGTCCAGGCCATTCTGTCACTTCTTGGGCCCATCTTGGGGGGCGGGGCAAACACGTCCAGGCCATTCTGTCACTTGAGGGGCGGGTCCAGGCCATTCTGTCACTTCTTGGGCCCATCTTGGGGGGGCAAACAAGTCCAGGCCATTCTGTCACTTCTTGGGCCAATCTTGGGGGGCGGGGCAAACAAGTCCAGGCCATTCTGTCACTTCTTGGGCCCATCTTGGGGGCGGGGCAAGTCCAGGCCATTCTGTCACTTCTTGGGCCCATCTTGCAAACAAGTCCAGGCCATTCTGTCACTTCTTGGGCCCATCTTGGGGGGCGGGGCAAAGAAGTCCAGGCCATTCTGTCACTTCTTGGGCGGGGGGGAACAAGTCCAGGCCATTCTGTCACTTCTTGGGCCCATCTTGGGGGGCGGGGCAAACAAGTCCAGGCCATTCTGTCACTTCTTGGGCCCATCTTGGGGGGCGGCACAAACAAGTCCAGGCCATTCTGTCACTTCTTGGGCCCATCTTGCGGGGCGGGGCAAACAAGTCCAGGCCATTCTGTCACTTCTTGGGCCCATCTTGGGGGGCGGGGCAAAACACGTCCAGGCCATTCTGTCACTTGAGGGGCGGGTCCTGGCCATTCTGTCACTTCTTGGGCCCATCTTGGGGGGCGTGACAAACAAGTCCAGGCCATTCTGTCACTTCTTGGGCCCATCTTGGGGGGCGGGGCAAACAAGTCCAGGCCGTTCTGTCACTTCTTGGACCCATCCAGGCCATTCTGTCACTTCTTGGGCCCCATCTTGGGGGGCGGGGCAAACAAGTCCAGGCCATTCTGTCACTTCTTGGGCCCATCTTGGGGGGCGGGGCAAAGAAGTCCGGGCCATTCTGTCACATTTTGGGCCCATCTTGGGGGGCGGGGCAAACAAGTCCAGGCTTCTTGGGCCCTTCTTGCCCATCCATTCTGTCACTTTGGGCCCATCTTGGGGAGCGGGGCAAACAAGTCCAGGCCATTTTGTCACTTCTTGGGCCCATCTTGGGGGGCGGGGCAAGCAAGTCCAGGCCATTCTGTCACTTCTTGGGCCCATCTTGGGGGGCAGAGCAAAGAAGTCCAGGCCATTCTGTCACTTCTTGAATTCTGTCACTTCTTGGGCCCATCTTGGGGGGCGGGGCAAACAAGTCCAGGCCATTCTGTCACTTCTTGGGCCCATGTTGGGGGCGGGGCAAACAAGTCCAGGCCATACTGTCAATTCTTGGGCCCATCTTCAAGGGCGGGGCAAAGAAGTCCAGGCCATTCTGTCACTTCTTGGGCCCATCTTGGGGGGCGGGGTAAACAAGTCCAGGCCATTCTGTCACTTCTTGGGCCCATCTTGGGGGGCGGGGCAAACAAGTCCAGGCCATTCTGTCACTTCTTGGGCCCATCTTGGGGCGCGGGGCAAACAAGTCTTCTTGGGCCCATCTTGGGGGGCGGGGCAAACAAGTCCAGGCCATTCTATTCTGTCATTTCTTGGGCCGATCTTGGGGGGCGGGGCAAACAAGTCCAGGCCATTCTGTCACTTCTTGGGCCCATCTTGGGGGGCAGAGCAAAGAAGTCCAGGCCATTCTGTCACTTTTTGAATTCTGTCACTTCTTGGGCCCATCTTGGGGGGCGGGGCAAACAAGTCCAGGCCATTCTGTCACTTCTTGGGCCCATATTCAAGGGCGGGGCAAACAAGTCCAGGCCATTCTGTCACTTCCTGGGCCCATCTTGGGGGGTGGGGCAAACAAGTCCCAGGCCATTCTGTCACTTCTTGGGCCCATCTTGAAAGGGGCGGGGCAAACAAGTCCAGGCCATTCTGTCACTTCTTGGGCCCATATTCAAGGGCGGGGCAAAGAAGTCCAGGCCATTCTGTCACTTCTTGGGCCCATCTTGGGGGGGCGGGGCAAACAAGTCCAGGCCATTCTGTCACTTCTTGGGCCCATCTTGGGGGGCGGGGTAAACAAGTCCAGGCCATTCTGTCACTTCTTGGGCCCATCTTGGGGGGCGGGGCAAACAAGTCCAGGCCATTCTGTCACTTCTTGGGCCCATCTTGGGGGGCGGGGTAAACAAGTCCAGGCCATTCTGTCACTTCTTGGGCCCATCTTGGGGGCGGGGCAAACAAGTCCAGGCCATTCTGTCACTTCTTGGGCCCATCTTGGGGGGCGGGGTAAACAAGTCCAGGCCATTCTGTCACTTCTTGGGCCCATCTTGGGGGGCGGGGTAAACAAGTCCAGGCCATTCTGTCACTTCTTGGGCCCATCTTGGGGGGCGGGGCAAACAAGTCCAGGCCATTCTGTCACTTCTTGGGCCCATCTTGGGGGGCAAGGGGGGGGCGGGCAAACAAGTCCAGGCCATTCTGTCACTTCTTGGGCCCATCTTGGGGGCGGGGCAAACAAGTCCAGGGTCTTGGGGGGGGGGGCGGGGCAAACAAGTCCGGCCATTCGGGGCCCATCTTGGGGGGCGGGGCAAACAATCTTGGGGGGCGGGGCAAACAAGTCCAGGCCATTCTCTCACTTCTTGGGCCCATCTTGGGGGGCGGGGCAAACAAGTCCAGGCCATTCTGTCACTTCTTGGGCCCATCTTGGGGGGCGGGGCAAACAAGTCCAGGCCATTCTCTCACTTCTTGGGCCCATCTTGGGGGGCGGGGCAAACAAGTCCAGGCCATTCTGGCACTTCTTGGGCCCATCTTGGGGGGCGGGGTAAACAAGTCCAGGCCATTCTGTCACTTCTTGGGCCCATCTTGGGGGGCGGGGCAAACAAGTCCAGGCCATTCTGTCACTTCTTGGGCCCATCTTGGGGGGCGGGGCAAGCAAGTCCAGGCCATTCTGTTCTTTTTGGCCCAGGGCCTGCACAAGTCTGGACTATTCTGCACAAGTCTGGGCAAGTCTGCAGGAGGCTGCACATCAGTAGATAAGCAAGAAGTACTGTGGCCTCCTCCTCGACGGGATGGCAGTAATCGCTTGCCGATAGCCGCTATGAGAAGCTACGAGCACTGATTTTTTTCTGATCAGTGCTCTTAGCTATGGAGGCTGGCCTGATGCTGAGTGCCGCCTTGGGCTTCGCAACCTTTGTGGCCAAGGTGAGGGGGAAAAGGAATGCGGCACTAATGTGGCCATCTGAATCTACCGCCTCCGCGACAGGATAGCGTGCTCGGCTTCCTCACCAGCTCCAGCCAGGTTCAGGTACTCCTCGCAGACATTTTTTTGATTCAGAGCTCAACACACTCTCTCTCTCTCTCTTTCTCTCTCTCTCTCTGCCTCGCTGAAGCTCTCGTCTGGCCCTCAAGCCAAAGCAGGAATTGGCCAGCTCCGTGATGCCGTGGGTGCTCACGGCACAGGCAGTCAAAGCCATGGCCTATCCCACCAATGGCGCCCTCATGGGGGCCCTGGCAGCGCGTCAGCACGCGTTTGGTTTGAGAGCATATGGCTTTCGGTGAAGCGCACATGAGTTCATGAATCATGACATTGTGCGACGTGCGGCAATGCACTGTACTTAAGTGCGTAGAGCATGCACGTGAATGTACATGACGGTCCTTGTCACTATACATCTGAGGACTGGCTCTGCTCCGCCTACATCCTCTGGGCCGCGAGCTTCGTGGGCCAAGGCCTATGCAAGCTCAGAGGCGCAGGCAGACCGGCGAGTAAAGATGCGCAAAAGGTTTCGCAAAGATGCGCGCAGACCCCCGTGGTCCCTCCAGGCTCAGATCCTCGGGGAGTCCTGGTGTGCCTTGGATGCAAAACGCCCCCGGCCTCGGAGGCTTCTAAAGGGTAGTGTGTTGACGGTGTTGAGGCCTCGAATTCTTTCAAGCATTGTCTGCAGAGGAGCCTGTGGTTGGGACTCATTGGTGCGGCTGCCGCGTTTCCGCTTGAGTTTTGCCCACATTTGAGGAGAGATGAGAGGCGCTTCTAGTTGGGTTTGAAGAGGGCCCCCCTGTGCCGGCACCTTGCTTTCCTCCTTTTTGTGGTGCAGCACTTTCGTTCTGCACCGCCCTTCAGCAGAAGGATAGGCCCGTCGTCCTGCAACTCTCTATGTTACTTCATCACGTCCAAGGGCGCTCAAGCATGAGTAGACAGCTAGACAAGGATGCTGGGACAAGTGTCTCGAAGGAGCTTATGAGGATCTCCTAACCAACTGACCTCAAGACACTGAAGTCTACTTTCTGGCCACGATTTTGTCCATAGACTGAGGGACGAGAATCAGAAAAACATGGCTCAAGGATTACTCCCTCAACCCCCCCCTTTCATAGAGCAGGCGATTTGCACGGTGTAAAGCGTCGCAGCAGTCGCAAAGCACAAAGAGGCATAAGAAAGGAGCCTGAAACAAATGGGCAAGACACAACACACATGACCTTTAGCAAAGACACGTCCCAGAACCTGGCGGAGACCGTGAACACAAGCCTGCTGCAGAATCGATGTAGCTGTGCTGGGTGCCCCGCGCATCCGCTAGGAGATTCTCACATGTCAAGTTCAGGCTTTCACCGCAGAAGCGAGTCTAGAGCGAGGCCGGACTCAACTCAGATGAAGCCCGAAGAGGCGCGGGAAGCCGTTTCTGCTCAGGGAGAACAGAGATAGAGTGAGAGTCAGCGTCTCCCATGGCGGGCATGGCGTTGAAGCTGCCTGGCTAGCACTGCCACGGAGGTGTGCACAGTGATCACAACGCACTTACAATTGTAGGCTTCTGAACTGCGAATTGTGGGGATGGCGTGTGCGCGGGTGCGCTGCTGAGGATCTGGGTCCTGCTTGTGCCCGCCTGGGCCCTCCAACCCAAGGAGTTGGAGGATTGGTGCCTCGGCTCTCCCCCTCGCCGATTTTTTTGTTCCGGGGGGGGGGGGGGGGGCCCTCAGGGCACTGCGATTTGGGCACTGTGTGGGAGTGCTCTAGAAACACTGTGTAGGACATTGTAAAGGGAAGTGTAGGGACACTGTGAGACCAAGGGCGCTTTCTGAGGTTCGCTTCGCCGAGCGGGCTGGCGATGACAACGAGCGATGCAGCCGCTGCTGCGAATCAGCCTTTTGGCCCCAACAGGGCAAGAGGGATGATGGTGGATTCAGTAGTGATTCAGTGCGCTTATGTGCGCTTTATTGGGGTTTGCACTTGAGGCACTGGAACGCCCTCGCCCAGTGCGGAGTGGAAATCAGGAACCTGCAGGCTCTCAAGGACCCGGGGGGCCAAGAGAGTGCACACGGTCGCAGCGCAGCTCTGTGCAACTTCCCAGGGTTTTTGAAGGAGCTTCTTTCTGTTCAGGACACGTTGTCTGACCGAAACTCGATCGATCTGCCACTGCCGGACATTCGTTCTCAGATCATCCAGTTGGCGGAGCAGCACATTGCGTCGGAGAAGTTGCAGCAGTTGTACAGGGTCTTGTCTTCCGGATACACCCTGTGGCTCGACCACACATAGGACAGGTGACCACTCTTTGGCCTCAAAGGATTCAAAGAACTCCGAGGGGCTTTTGAGATCTGTTAAGAACGTTGCTCTTTTTATGCCCTTTGCGCTCCGAGGAGCGGTGGCCTGGCGCTTCCAAAGGACGAGGCACAGACCATGATGCACCTCCTGGCCTTGAAGAAGGCCCCCCTTTTTCTTTGGGAGAAGCATGTGAGTCATATGAGTCATGAGTCAGACTGGTCCGAAGCAGTAGGCCCTGAGTCGCAGTGGTACTGACGATCAACAACCCGTTTCATGGTGTGTCGAAAGCAAGAGCAGGCGGAGCCCGAGCAGCTCAAGGCACTCTACCAGGCCCAAAAGAATGCCAGAAGAATGCCAGAAGAATGTGGAAAGAAGGATGGCAAGCTGGGTGTGCTCTCAGCACCGCGGTCTACACTTTTGTTGCTGTGACTTCTGCCGCCTCCGGAGGTCATGTACGGCTATTCTGGGCTCGGCTTCGCGAAGTCCGTGGCGCAGACCACGTCCATTCAGCTTGCCCAAGCTGGAGCGGATGCATCCCAGTTCAAGGACCCTCCTTTGCACACCCATCAAGTAATTTAGCAGAACCCACCTGAGGAGGACCTCCCGCCCCCCTCCCTCTCCCCATCCCCCAAAGAAACATGGGAAAATTGCGGAAGTCTCTCTGCAGCCTCGTGTTGCCCTCAGGCGACCTACCTTGCCACGGTACAGAAGGGCCAGGCGGCCGCCATCACCGAGGCCTCGAAGGCGGCGGTGGCCCACGACCTGGCAGGCCTCATGGAGCTCATGGAGCTCATGGAGGGCACCGACTTGTCCTTTTTTCTTTTTTCCAAGGGCCCAAGTGGGCCCCTGATTTGTAGCTATTGGTAGGGTTTTCTCTTTTTGGTCGATCCTGTCCAGGGTTTGCCATGAAAGAGGTCTGGTGAGGCGCTATGCCTTGGATGCCAAGCCTTACACCGCCAGTGAGTTCCTCCAGCACTACGGCGAAGGCCCCTTCGCCCCGGCTCGAAATTGAAATCTGAGAGTTTCGTTTTGGGTTCAGCCGGTTAAGCTTACGTATTCCGCTTCGTTGAGTTGTTCGGTTTGAGCCTGCGAAGGCGGCTGGCTCGACCAGTGGCTCGATAGCCCTTTGGAGAAGCGGGTCTCCAACGACCGGCAAGCCTACACCGCCAACCAGTTCTCCAGGCCCAGGTTGCTGTGAATCTGTTGCCATAAAAGGAAAGCCTATGTGTCAGCCATACAAACCCTCTAAGGCCCGAAAAGAGTCCTGAGCCTCCTCCTCCTCTGCCTCCTGAGGCACTTCCCTGGCAGCTGGGAGGCCATGTACAAGCAAAGCCCGGAGGCCACGCAGCTCCGCCTCGCCCAGGACGGCAAGGCCAGAGCTTCCCATACGCGCAAAATCAGAAGAAAAAGAAGAAAAAAAGGGGGATAAAACGAAGTTACGAAAAGAAAAGGTATAGGTATTCGGTATGCAGCTGCAAACGGCAGTCTGAAGCATGGCGTATGCAGCGGCTCGTTATTGCGTGTTGCCAGACCTACTCCATGCTTGAGTACCAGCAATACTATGGCGACCAGTGGCATGATCAGTGGAGCGTCAGGGCCTTGGCCTGTGCCGCCATACGCCACGCAGCGAGGCGATAGCGATGGTGAGTAAGTAGCGCGATGTGCTGTCCTGACTGAGGTCTCACCTGAGCTTTCCTGCAAGGAATGCGCACCATACGTCGGTGTCTTCGCAGTGCTTGTTTGAGCCGGCTGAGAACAAGGTGCAACTCGTCTAGACTTCAGAGGCTGATGGGGGCTTGCTCCTCAGCCTGTGAGTTCAGCCGATGCCGCCGGAAAAAAAGGCACTTCCGCTGCAATTAGCTTCATGAACTTCGTGCACGGAATCGTGCCCACACCATTCATTGTGACAGCGTGCATCTAGAGGAATGACAGTATGACAGGAATGACAGTATGACAGTAAATATGAGTTGCAATGCGCAGATGCCGTCAGATGCCAGGGTTCTTCGGCACGCAGTTGGTGCTTGGTCTGCTCCGTATCTTCTCGGCACGAGGCTGCCGCTGATGTAGATTTCGAGTTCTGCGTTTTTGTTTCTTCCCTCAGGCCGCTGGAAAGTGATCCGAAAGTGAGGGGAATTGAGTTGCAGCCAAAGTGGTGGCTAAAACGCCCATGCTGAAGACTCTTCGACCCTCGTATAGGACGTCGCAAGACATCGCTGCAACTGCGCGGATGTTTTTTTTCTCACCAATGCAGGAGCGCCGTCTTAACTCAAGGCCACAAACACACCACTGTATCCGCCATGTCGCCATCTTTGAGCGAGACGGAGAGACGGAAAGCCTTGTTGCACTTCGCTCTCGCCTCAGTCCCAGGCCTTGCAAAGCACGGACTGGTCGATGCGGGCGAAAGCCTGCCAGGCAACGCACAACAGCTTTGTGCAAAGTCGGTTTTTCATGTAGAAACAATATGCGTATCAAACCAACACACACGTATGTACATATACCTCTATGAGAATATTGGCATCTCGTTCTGCATGCAACAGTATGTTTACATCTCATCACATCTATGATGATTCATATAGGAAGCGTGTTGCGTTGTTGGGCCTGCGGTTGCAGTTGGCTGCAAGCATCGGCGCTGCCGCTGCCCCTTCCTGCGCAAGGGACCTGGGCCGATCTTGGTTTCGAGGACTTTTTTTGTTGAGCTCTTCAGCGTGGCGCCCAGGCCACCCAGCTCATCGAGGTTATGCTGAGCGACGGCGATGTGGTGCCATGCCCCCTGCACCAAGCCATGCTAAGCCAGGCAAAGCCAGGCAATCAGCCACTAAGCCGCCGGTTCGCTTCACACACTTCTTGGCCTCGGATCGGTTGGTGCCGTCCAAGGCTCATGAGAAGCTGCAGTAGACTTGGGTAGACTCATCGTAGACTCATCGTAGGTTCGTTGGGTCATCGTAAACTCATGGAAGCCTGGCCCATGGGCTGCGGGCCGCTTTCAAGCGCCGCGGGTCGGATTCTTGGATTCTCACAAAAGCTTCAAATGCACCGATGTTGGGGGAGAGAGGGGGGAGAGAGGGAGGAGAGAGGGAGAGCTTGGACGTTTGAGCAAAAAAAACCGAAGCGAGGAGGAAAAACGACAAAAGGAGCACGGCATCACAAAGCTGAGGGGTGGGACGTGGGTCCTGTTCCTTCTTTTGCGTTGTCGGGGCTCACGCAGCAGCTCCGGAATGTTCTCAAGTCTTTTCCCTGAAGATAGAAGCCAGGTTGCGAAGTGGTCTGCGGAGGTGCCGAGGGGCAGACGGGGCGCTGGGGGGGCTGACATCTCGGCTGGGCCCCCTGCGTCGCGACGTGCTGTGTTGGCATCGTGGAATCTCAGCTGAAATGTGTGCACTCTGCCATGGACTACTTTCCAGATTGCCGGCATTATGGGCCTCTTACGAACTTTAGAAGGGTGGTTCAATGGCAAGAGCTTGCTTGAAGGGAGGAAGAGCACAGTGCCTCTGACCGCTTCAGAACAGGGCGCAAACGAGCCGCCGCCCGATCTGAAGCAAACAGGAAGGAAAGAAAACACGAAAAGGAAGAACGAACCAGGCATCAGGACATCAAACCGAGTACTTCCTGGAATTCCGCTTGCCCACCAAGCATCGGGCAAGGCAACAGTGGCGCCACGTTCCATACCAGAATTCCGTCAAGGAGCTGAAGCAGGATCCCTGTTTCCGACGTTCTTCTGTAGACTGTAGATCCAATACGATGCGTCCGCGCATTTGCAGAAACAGTTCGGATGATTGCGGTCAATGTGACGCCGAAGACGCCCTGAAGGGTTTAGATGGTGGGCTTCAAGCCCCAAACCCCGAAGCCCCGCAAGCGCACGCAACAGAAGGCAAACAAAAAACCCACATCCTCCCACCGCAGAGTTGACGTTGGCCAGAGGTGGCATTTTTTGCACTCTGACCCCCTTTGTGGGAGGGAGCGCCCTCTGGGTTCCCACTGATCTCCGCTTCAGGACTCCATTCCCGACTCCAGCTGACGCGTCCAACTCCCTCGAAGAGGTCCCCCTGGGCTTCTGCCTGATGCTGCATCGAGTTCGGAGACCCAGGAGAGCTGGTCCTGAGTCTTGGGGACACTCGGCGTCTGGCCGGGCGCTCTCTCTCGCTCTCTCTCTCTTTGTGTCTCTCCTTTCTCTTCGCTAGCCGCTACCGCTCTCTGAGTTTGAATCATCTGTTGGTGTGACTTTTTCGGCTCCAGGGAAGCAATCAGACATGTGAGGCTTGCTGGGGTGGGGCCATGGCAGCCTTTGAGGCACTCGAGTACCTCCGGGCTCGCAGTGCCAAAGATGGGGTGAACGCTGTGCTGAAGCTGCGGGCAGCTTCCTCCTGGGAGAAGGTCCGAGACCTTCGCTCCCAAAACTCCTTGGGGCCGCTCTTCACTGGCACGGATGATGGATTCGCAAAAGAGTTGAAGACCGCCCAAGACCTCCTCTTTGAATGCCAAGGGGAGGGCAAGCAAGAAGAACAAGTCCAGCTCCTGGACGCCATCGCGCACCTGCACTTAATGCGAGGCAACACCAGCCGAGCCTTAAAGTGCATTCGAGAAGCCTTGAGCCTGGCGAAGGAGGTCTCCAGCAACTCCCTCGTGCACTTGGAAGGAACCATGGAGATAGCTTGCCGCTTTCGTGCAGAATCCCCTCCCAACGCAGCCTTGGATGCCGAGGCGCAGGTGCCGAGCTTGGCCCAACTGCTTTTGGAGGTTTTCAAGGGGAGCCCGGGCAGCGAGCGCTTGGACCGGGGCCGCCTGGCCTTGGCGGACTTCTTGGCCCACAAGGCCAAGACGCAAAGCGCCAGCCGCGCCACGATCCGGGAGGCCGCGCAGGGCTTCGAGGCCGGCGCAGCAGATGACACGCTCGGCGCGGCTTTGCTACTGCTGGGGAAGATGGACTTGACCTCACCCCAGGCAGTGGAAAGACTCTATCAGGCAAGCAAAGCCTTCCGGGCCGACAGCCTACCAGATGCGGAGGCCACAGCCCTACAGTCGCTGGCCACTGCACTCCTGGTGCAGAACCGCCCAGACCCGATGAATGCCCTGCAGTCTGCAGAAGAGGCACAGGCAATCTTCAAGCAGGTCCAAGATGCACGTGGCCAGGCAATCGCTCTGCAGCTCATCGCCAACTGCAGGATGGTCTTACAGGATCGGGACCGGTGCATGGCAGCCGCCTACGAGGCGCTTCGCCTTTTTGTGGAGGTGGGAGATGATCATGGCACCAAGATTGCATACAAGCTGCTGAGTAGTTTGGGGCAGTCCGAGCAGCAGATCCGCGCGGCCACCGCTCGGAAGGAGGTGGCACGCTTCGATGAGGTGAAGGCCAGCGAAGACAAGCCGGAGGTCTCGGAAGAGCTGAAGGCCATCATGGCTGAGCAGGTGATCTGGGAGTATGCCTGGGTTCCCTCGGAGACCCAGGACCCCAAATACTTCGGGGAGAAACGCCCGAGCGGTGCTCGCCGCATCCTGGTCGCCAGCGAGTTGCGGGACCCGCGTCTCCTTCGGCAGCTGGCAGGCTGCCGAGGCGCGGCTCAAAAGGAGCCAAAGGCGAAGCCCTTCTTCGCGAACCTGATCAATGGCCGGCTGCTAACGGCCAATGCCATCCAGTCTGCCATGCAGGCATCCTTGTGCACAGCGGCGGTCTACGACGTGACCAAGCTCAATAACCTGACGCAGCTGGAGGTCATGGACGTGGCGCTGCGACTCACCCAGGCCTTGCAGCCCATCGAGGATCCCGAGAAGGTGGCCCTGGACGTCGTGTTGTCCTCCACGCAGAACCTCGCCTCCGTCCACGGTGTGCGAATTCCCTTTCACTCCACTCTCTGGGGATTCTGCAGAACTGCACGTATCGAAAATCCGACTCATGAGTTCCGAGTGCTGGATGTTGATGCCAAGAACTTCATGAAGGACATGGCTTTTGTGACCCGCTACCTCTTGGGTGCACAGAGCACGCGGCCAATGGAGGCCATGGTGAGGAAAGGTGCGTTGCACGTGGCCAGATTGGTGAGTGCTCGGGCCGAGTTGAAAGCCCCATTGAAAATGGTGCGGAAAAATTGAGGGCCCAGCGAGGGCCCAGCAAGGGCCCAATGAGCGCGAGGGTCCGGACTGAAACCTTAGGGCCTTGGGCGGCCGCGCGCGGCTCTTCCAGGAAAAAAAGGCTTCTGCAAATCCGTGCAAGGGGAAATGTGGCAAGCTGTTTCTTAGAGGCTACAGGTTCTGCCGGATGTGAGGGCTGCTCAAGCAACGAGACTCAGCACGAGAGAGAGTGCAAGGGTGCATCATCCTGGTCTGGTCAGGCGTGCAGCATGCACATGAATATGAACGATGCTGTCGGTTCTGCAATTTTCTTGACATTCCGATCGGGCTCACTATTTCGTGGGTTCGTGTTGTGAGAGACCTGACCCTTCAGGACCAGACGAGACTGCGGCGATGGAGAGTGGCCAATTCGCTTCTAGTCGAATCACTACACTAGAACCCATCAGTAGCATTGAAATGAGTTGTACAAGTCAGAACATGTATGTAATCATGTAGGTACAAAAGGCACTTCGCTTTACCCTATTGCAGTACTACATCCCGATCATACACATGCACCTTGTCTTTGCCTGGCCACGGGGGGGGGGGGGGGGTGGTTTTCGAGGGGAGCGTGGGGGCTGGGAGGGTGGGTGAGCCCAGTGCCTGGACCCGGTGCTTAGTCGACAATCCGCAAGCATTTGCAATTTGCAATCATTACAAGCCAGCAGCCAAGCTGATTCAACGAAGGCTGCGATTGGCCCAGCCACAGCACCATCCCACAGCGTCTTCCGTGGTGCTTCGGACCCAGTTCTGGCGAGGCTGCCTGGCCCATTGTCGCAAGAAGCGCTATGGAAGATTCGTTGTGTTTGAGAAGCCGGGTTGATTTCATGTCGAAGACAGTCCCCACTGTTCCACGAGCTTGAGAGACGCTTCCAATCCCAAGGCGCTTCGGACCGCTTCGGCTTCGGGCCATGCTGAAAGCGGCCACACCATGCGCTGGTTGTTCTTGCGGCGGAGATGAAACAAAGGGTGTACCCCTGCAACTCTTTGCCTTCGGCACGGCATCAAAGGCATTTGTTCATGTCAGATCTGGCCGAAGTGAGTTGGTTCACGCAGGAGGTGCGACATGCTGCAGTCCTCGCGATGCAAACGCCAGCGACTCGTGATGCCAAGCCTACAGGCCTACAGGGCCTGCAAGCAAAAACGTGCCATTGACCACTGGAGGTTTCCAGACGCTGCGAAGGTGGAAGCTGTCCAACACTCAGTGGGCACGGCTGCGAACTTTAAGCTCCCCCAGGGCGACTTGAAGAAGTGATTTGGAGAACGGAGTTCACAGAGGGGAGCTCTCTCTCTCTCTCACTCTCTCTCCCTCTCTCTCTCTCCCTAAGCCTTAAGAAAGCATTCGTCCTCATCCCCAAGGCCGAGCGCCTCTGCGTCGACGGCTTGCGTTACGAGACGCTTGGCACATTGCCCCGCATCCGATCGATCAGTGGATAGCAGAGAATTTTCTGCTCAGCCCTCGCAGTAGTGACTGGGGGCTCACGGAGTCTTGCTCTCACGGTCTGATTTGGCAGGTTGGAGTCGCTGCAATGCAGGCGCGCCGCCTCAGCAACTGCCAGAGGGTGCCAGACCACGAAGAGACCACGCGAAGAGACAAAGAAGACGCCAGAGGAAGAGGCTTAAGAATCCGGGGGCGCTTCAAAAACACGCTTTGTATACAGAGTGAGAGGCAAAGGGAAACCACTGAAACCACACAAGGAGGACGAGGGCCGCGGTGCTCCTTTTTTTTGAAAGCCCTGAGAGGTCGCCCCCTGGGCTCGGAGTCGAGAGTTTTTCGAGAGTTTCGGGGCTTTTCGAGAGTTTCGGGGCTTTTCTCGGAACCTTATGGAGGGTCTCGTTTTGAGCCAAAAACCTTGAGTTTGCTTTGTTGTCACAGACGCAAAAAAAGAGAGGCGAGCCGTTTCATGAGGGTAGAGTTGGTACAGTTCTCTAAAGTTCCGTGTGCCAGCCGATTTCTACGTCGCACAGAGCCCCCCCCCTCCTCCATCTGTCCGTGGGCTTTCCTCCGAACATCCCTTTTGGTCAGTCGGCGCAACGTGAAGAGCGCCGCGTGCGCCGCGCTGGCGCTGCCTGGCGCTTACAGTGACGCAGAGATCTTCAGACGTGAGAGGCACTGTACGTTTCCATGTTGAAGCCTGCTGGCTCTGCCGAGTGGTTCCAGGCTGGGCCGTGAGTTCGGATTGTTCCGTCCTGAGACACGCGGCGTGCGCAAGCGCAGAAAGAAGCCGCAGGAAATGCCCAAAGGGTCCAAGGGTCTCTCCGCGGGAGTCTCTGAGTTTCAGCGGAAGGCCGTACCTTTCGGATGTGCAAGCGTGTCTGCCGGACACTCGGTCTCGAGCCTCAGCTGTGAGCCTGTGAGCCTGAGCCTTCAAAGGCGAGACCGCTCCAGCTTGGTCAAGAAGCACGCCGCCACGGTGCTGGCAGCGTGGGGGAGCGAGGTGTCGCAGCACGAGGCGAGGCAATTCCGCTTCTGTATATTGTAGTATATGGCTTGAGTTTTTAAGTTCGTTTGCTGCTTTGCCATGTGCCCGCAGCCTTGTGGCTCCCATACTGTAGTTCTTTCGGCACAGCATCGCAGGAAGGCCTAGTGTTCAGGCACGCCTTGCAAGTAGGGCGCGTAGAGAACGACACCACGCCCACATGCATTTCACTCTCCCTCTCTCTCCCTCCCCCTCCCATCCCTATCCCCCGCTCTTTCTTTCCTTTTTCTTTCTGTCTTTCTCGCTCTCTCTGCCTGTCTGTCTCTCTCTCGCTCTCGCTCTTTGACTCGCTCTGACTCTCTCTCTCTCTCTGACTCTCTCTCTCTCTCTCTCTCTGTGTCTCTTTCTTTCTGCCTAGTCAGGTCACACGCATGGCGCAGGTCCGTAAGTCCAGCGTGGATAGTGAGGCCAGCACCGCTGCCACCGCTCCTTGGCTCAGTGATTTGTGGCGAAGCAGCAAGGGGAGCAGAACAATCGAAGGTTCCGGACACAGACTCCACCGAGACAGAGCAGTAGCTTGGCTGAGAAACGGGAGTGAGCAACGTGGTCGCAGAATGCAGAGTTCCATGCTGGAATTACAGGAGTTAGTGCGCATGCTTGGGCGAGTGATAAGGTCGTCAATCATGTTGAGGAAGCCCGTGGAACCAGTTCTCATGGAGCAGGGGCTGGCGGTCGCGTGGCCACATGGCCGCTCGCATGGACTCGTAGTCAGTTCGTTAAGTACGTCGGCGAACTGTTCCAAGTTACGCACTTGAGCTTCATGTGGCCTCGCAGTTGTCGCCGTCGTCTTGGCCTTTCTGGTGCCGATCCCCATGTGCATGGGGCCCGTCTCCTCAGCTTCAAGCTTTCAAAGGCATGGCACACGGTGACTCACGGGAAAGCTGGTCATGCGATTGCATGATGTGTTTTTGATACGTGGGGACATCAGAGGACATGGGGCATCAAGAGCCCCCAGTCGGTCACGTGGCTCCTGTTGATGACTTTGCATCAGCCGTTCAAGGTGTGCCGTTCTCCTGCGAGCGGGCCGCCGCGGTTTGACTCCTGCGATTTTGCTGGCTTTCCTGCTCCGGTCCGGGGCCTCGGAGTTTTTGAGCACAGAAGCAAGATGCTCTTTGAGACCATCCTGAACAGTTCCAAGCCTCAGCTCCGCTTCAGGGTGACCACAGAGGCTTTGACTTTGATGTCAGAACAGCAAGTCGAGAATCACGAAACGTCGCATGGCAGAGGCACATAAAGCCGCAGAAGCCTGACGCGAGCCTGACATTGCAATTATTGCATGAAGGCTATCACTCAAACTTCCGCTCTGCTCTTCCGGCGTCCATGAGCCGAGCATGGGCCACATTGGGCCACTGATGGCGGCTATGGGCCTCTGCTCCGCGCTGCAGCGCTGCGGGGATGCCGAGCCCGGGCCTCCCTCCGAAGAGGCCAACAAGGCCCCAAGCGGAGCCCCGGCCCCGGCGCCGATGCCGGCGCCAGCGCCGGCGCCGCTCCGAGCCCGCACCTCTCCGAGCTCGGCGCTTAGGTCGCAAGTCGGGGCCGCGCCGGCCTCGAACTGTGACTGCAATCCTGTGTAAAATATGTCCTTCCCGCTGTCCTGGTACCAGGGGCAGAGTGTGGACGAGTGGTGCTGTGGTGGTGCTACAGGTGGGGACCGGCCGCTCGAAGCACTGCGCAGCAACGCAGAGGTGCCTTTCCTTGGGGGCCGTGTCACGCTCTGGCGCTTCACCCTGACAAAACGAAGCACAGCTCATTGTTCTGCGGTAGCTCCAGGCAGCCATGGCCGAGATGGAGGCGAACTTTGACACCGGCGACTTGGATTGCTTCAGGGTACCCTTCGCACTCAGCTGCATGATGATGATGATGACGATGATGATGATGATGATGATGATGTGTAGCAGAGGCATCTTCGATTTCCTGCCGCAGACGCGGACAGAAGAGGTCCGACTTCAGCCCCCCTTCTTTCGAGCCGGCCTCTCGAGGCCTACGGTTTTGAGTCCTTAGGCCGGCAGACATGGCCTGCTGGATGTACTCCTGGAGGAGAGGAGCCGAGGTGCGGTTGCGGTCTCTGCACACGGCTTGCAGGGCCGATGCATGATTGAGATGTGTGGGTGGGTGTTATCTGCACATGGATCAGGCGGTGTCGATGATGTGGAAGGTGGGCGCTGGGCCACACACTTCTGGGACACACGCAGCTCTACCCGCACACCGCAGTCGACACCGTGAGGGGGAAAAAGCTGCGAGCGCGCCTGTGCGAAGCTTTTCGCTTCCTGAAGCTGCTCAAATTGTCACAGCAGATGTCTCGAGCCAGGCTACCCCTTCAACTCCTTCCCAGCGAGTAGAAGCTGCCGATTGTTTTGAGAGAAGTCTCCCGTGCCACTGAGTCACTGAGGTCGTATCGATGCAGGCGAGCTCTCAGGATGTCTGGTTAGGCCGCTGCTGGGCGTTTGCACCTCCAATATAAGCCAGCAACGTTTGCTTTTCACATCTTGCGCTGCTTCTTACGTCTCTGACAGTGCTTTGCTTGAGCCTTGCCTTATGGAGATCATCTCCTGATCACTTATAAGGTCCAGGTGTTTATGTTGAACATCCCGCCGGCACCCGCAGGTCAACGATCTGATGCGGCCGCCTGCCCTCCAAGCTGTCGGATGGCACCAGAAAGTCTGCTTCAGATTGTTCACCCCTACAGCTCTCCTGTAGCGCTTCTTTCGGGGACTTCGACACTTGATTTTTCTTAGACCGCTGGACAGCTTGTGGGGGGCCCGGGCTCGTTTTGAAGAAAGGGCTGTGATGCCCAGCCAGGGAGTTGCAAGCGCTGCTTCCGCAGCATGCTTGTGGACAGATTCGAGTGATTCGAGTGTGTGAGTGGAAGGAGAGAGCCTAAGCCTAAGCGGCGTCATTGGAGCTTCCTGTGCTAATTTAGGTGATTAGCTTGTTTCAAGGACTTGCAGCACGTCCACCCGTCTAGCTCAGTTGGGGTGGAGTGGAGCCGAGTAGCCAGAAAGCCAGTCAGAGCATCACGCAAGATCACGCAATATCACGCAATATCACGCAATATCACTTACTGTAGCACCACTGAGTATCTCGAGCCTTTGGGGCCCAGCGAGGGGCCTGGCCAATTCGGCAGCCACCTTCCCCAGCTTCGAGCTCTCCAGGGCTCGAGGCAGGGCGAGTTTATGGAGGTGGTATCGGAGCCTTGTTTCAATCTTGGCCGGTGCCCCATGCGACCTCCAAAGCCAGATTAAAAAACATAATGCAGTTGTGTGTGTGTGCTGCTCACAATTGTTGGCTCACTCAAAACGCGCAGACTTGCCTTTGGGCTCAAGCAGCAGGGATGTACTTGGTGATCCACATCGACCCATCCTTGGTGCCAGCGACGCACCAGGCCACGATCCTCCATGAAAGAATTCATGGCCCCATAACGGAGGCTGCCACTTGCCGGTTGCCAGGTAGTACCCCGACGGCTGCCGTGCGAACCCCGAGACAGCGTCCAGAATGTCAAGGGCCCCGTGCTCGGAAGACTCAGAAGACACTTGCAGGTCACATGCGAGTAAAGGGGCAGCTCCTCCGACATGCCCAGTCAGGATTCATAACGGAGCTCTACGGGGTTCCCTTCTTGCGCCAGGTCTGAGTCTGAGCCACATTGAGAATCGAGCGCTTGGCAAGTTCCCATCAGGACCTGTACTTCAATGGCATCCGCCTCAACGACAGCGCCACCCTGGATGCCTTGGGCATTCCAAGTGAGGCCCGCGGAAATCCGGAAAATCGAGCCTTCCCAGACGAACGCCAAGGAATGTACAGGAGAGGAGCGCAGTGACACGGCATTGCGGCTGCCCATACCATATAGCGGATTTATTTCGGGGTTCGCAGACCTTCGCAGATCTTCGAAGATCCTCGCAGATCTGCGCTTCTCGCTCAGGCAGAGGTGGCGGTGCGACCCAGGCGGCGCCAGGGCGCAGCCCTGCGAGGGGCCGCCGCCGCTTCGCGGGCCGCGCGCCCCGGGTCTCAGCTTTTCTCTTTACTGCTATCTCGTTGAAGGGCTTAAGATGATGGAGGAGTGCTTGGCTCCGCCTTTGCTCCGGATTCGATGCTTCTGGGCATTTCAGAGAGGGAGGGCTCACGAGGGCTCTTTCTCTCTCTCTCCCCCTCTCTCTCTCCCTCCCTCCCTCCCTCTCCCCATTTGAGCGTGCCTTAAACAAAAAAAAGGACCCGTTTCCAGTCATCGTATGCATCTCCAGTACCCAAAGTTTCACGCTTTCAAGGGCAACATGCAGCAAAGCACAGTGCCCCTATTCTTTTTGCATCTGTTGTTACTTGCTCGTCTATGCTGCTCACTGTGTTATTGATGTTGGGTTGAGGGGAAAAGGGTCTGGCTGACTCATGAAGTTGAAAGCCCAAAAGGCTAAAACCCCAAAAAGCCTAAAACCCCTAAATTCCATATTTGTTCAAGCTCCTGAGAAGGCCCATTGTTACCTGAAAACACACCCCTGTGTAAGAATCGAACCCTTTCTAATTTGGGAGGCCCCCCCCCCCCTGCTACTAGCAGTCCTTAATCAGGGATTTATAGTAGGGGGAGGGGGGTACTAGAAACACCCCTACTGCCTAAAGAGCGTTTTTTCTTTGAGTCGAAACGGGGCCGAGGCGTGGGCTCCTGGAGCTCCGGCGAGGCCCGTGGCAGCTTCCAAGCGCTCGGGGGCCCAGAGTGCGGCCTTGAGGGCTTGGGAGTTTATAAGGTTTAGGCAAAAAAAAGGGGGTTGCTTAGGGGCAAGTTTAGGGTTTCGGGGCTTTCTTTGGAGGCTTCTTTTTAGGGTTTCGGGTTTAGGTTGTTTTTTGAGGGCTTCGGTTTTGGGGTCTTCAGCTGCTGAAGACTTCCAAGACAGGAGGGTGTCAAGAGCTTCCCCGTCTGGGCTATGTGCCCTTGCCCACTCTAGATAAGAGTTTGTAGGGTTGAACACGTAGGTATTTTGCCCTTTGCCCCCATTGCCATCCTGTACTGTCGTTGGTACTTGGCATAGAGTGCACGGCTGACTCGTCTTTCACATGGTGTAGGCCGGTAGGGTTTTGGCCGGTTCATTGGCAAATTCGGGTTCAAAGAAGGTCCACCTCCCCCATCTTTTGGCGTGCCTTCACCTTTTCTGACAAAGCTGTAGCGGGTGCTAGCGCGGACCTCCTGAGCCAAATGTCGTGCCGCTGTTTCAGGCATAAGCTGTTGCAGCTATCCGCTGCAGAGGTGACCTTCCAGGTTCCAAGCCCTTGCTGACTCTTGCGCGTTGTCAAGCCTTACGGGGCTCTTGTCAAGGAACGGCAAGTTTAAGGCTGCCAAAAGAGTGTGAGAAGATAGTAAGATAGGCAGCTGAATTTCATTTTTAATTCCTTAACTGGAGCGACCAAGACTGTGCCGCGCCGCTGCAGATGGCTCAAACTACGTGCCTTCTGTGAAACCCTCGTCTTCATGGCTTTATGCGCATAGGTGCCGCGCCTGCAGCTTGTTTCGCCGTGGTTTCTCCGAAGGGCACGGAAGAATCCAGGTATTCTACGTCCGTTGTGGCGCTTTGCAGGGTGTCTTGTGCAGCGTGGTCTTTCTGTTGTGAAGACGTGCACAGCGCAGAAATTCGACATGTGCCGGGCATTCAGCACCTGACGCCGGCGGCCAGCTACATCAAAAGCAACGGCAAGAAAAACCCCCACACGTCTGGAACCACAGTCGAAAACAACACAGCTCAAAGTTCGTGAAGCTTCGTTTTGTGTTGGCTGGCGGCAGAGCCCCTGACAGGAACAAAAAAAGGGACGGAGTCCGGGGAGGAGGCAGAAGAAGTCGATGTATCCAAGGTGAGGTGTTGTGTCCGAGGCGAACATGGAAGACTGCCGGCAGAGCAATGGATGAGAAAGCATGACATGACACGACCTGAGGATACTCCAATTTCGTGAAAGGATGGAGCAGACTGTTGATTCGGACGTGTTTTGACTGCCATGTTGACGATGTTAGTGTGTTTGAATGTGCATGTCCTATTTGCTTGGTGTCGGTGTGTTCGGCTTGATTCTTTTTGCGTTTTGAATCATGTGTTCTTGTTCGTGGGTGTGTCTCTGTGTGTGTGTGTGTGTGTGTACGTTCTCTCGCTGTCTCTCTCTCTCTCCCTCTCTCTTTGACACTCGCTCTCTCAAAACATGTGTCTGGTAGTTGTGTATGAATATGTCAGGAACTTGGAATTGCATTGACTTCTCTTCAACAGCTCTGCTTGTTGCAGTTCCAAAGAACTGAAAGCTTGGATAGAGCCCAGTCTTCGCAGAGTAGCGCGAGCGCGACGACCCTGTGTAGGTATGCCCCCCCCCCATCCAGGAATCCACTAATGCCTTCCACGAGCCCAGCCCGAAGCTTTCGAGCCCAGCCCGAGGCTTTCTGCTCGCGGCACTCCCGCTCCCACTGGCGGAACGCACGCGGTTCATCGCAAATGAGGGCCTGGAGCACCCTTGGCCAATAGCGAGTTGTCGGATAGGAGGGTTGCTCTCACAGCTTTTCTTACAGTGCTTCGCTTCCAAAATTCCCAGTTCGGGCAGGGGATGGTCGGATGGTCTCCTCTTCTCCTCTTCAGCTTGTTGCTGTCCAGGTTCCCGCAGTCCTGCGAGAGCGGTCTCCTGGAGCTCAACGGGATCTACGAGATCTCGGCCAGAGTCAAGTTCGAGAAGAGCTGTACGCTCAGGGGAAGCCCCGGCACCTCGCCGCTGGTACTGCAAAACAGAGGTTGACTTGGAGCTTGTCTGGAGCTCTTTTCAATTTCTGTAGAAGTTTGATCGAGACTTGACGCAAAGGTGCAGACGCGTGGGTTTGTAGTTGTGCTTCCCGCTGCATGCCTGGGGGTGCCTAAGGATCGAGCTGGCACAACAGCTTCTGGTTTTGGGAGATCTTACGCTGGACCTCAGATGGTTTTGCACGTTTGCCCTCTGAGGCTCTTGAGAAGCGACTTTTGAGTCCCTGCAAGTCTTTCTCGCAGGAAGGCCACCTGCAAATCACGGCTTCGGCGGAGAACGACGACACTTGCTTAGTCGTCCCTACCGGTATCTTGACCATTGCCACGGATGAGCTCGTGATATCCAGGCCGGCAGCTTCCTACAAACCCCTAAGCTTCAAAGTCGAATGGGCGCGAAGTCACAACCCGAACAGTGTGTGGTAACAAGATAGCGACATGCGACGCGACAAGTCGTGAGCGAGCATGCGTTAAATCCAAAATACACACATGACCATCTTGGTGCATGAGCCGGACGTCTACTCTTGACCGGTTCGTCATCTCCTGCACAGCTGCTGCATGTTGACTTGGTGCCTTGGTCCAAAAGACCAATAAAGGACCCAAAAGCAGCCTTGGCCCCTCAGAGGTGCACCAGCTTCGGATCCATCACTGCCCAGAATCTGCACATTCGCGGCCACATGCAGATTCTGGATTCATACAGTGCGCGTGATGGTGGTGGTATTCGTGTACTCGAGTCTGTTGTGCAGCACACTGGTATCCTGACTTTTGCGAACTGCAGCTCGAAACGGTCTGGGGGCGCCGTCCACGTGCAAGGAAGCTATGAGCAGCTGGGTGGATCAGCCTCATTCGTGAATTGCACTTCAGGCGACGAGAGTGATGTCGAGGCCGCATCCCAAGACACGAAAACGGATGGAGGTGGAGGACTGTCAGTCGGCGAGATGTTTCGGCAGCAGGGGGGCGTGATGAGATTCGAAGCCTGCAGATCCATCTTCAATGGAGGTGGACTCCAAGTCCGAGTGGGGAAACAGCCCAAGCTGTCGGTGAAGCTCCTGCAAGCGGGCCGGATGTCCTTCAGCGCCTGTGCTGCCGGAAGGCGCGGCGGCGGCGCCTCCGTCAACGGCCCGGTGCAGCTGAAAGGCGACTCCGGGGCTTCTTTGGGCCCTCTTAAACCCCATCAGGACCCGACATGAGGGCTGCCGTGAGATAGGCATAGACACCTTTCTGAAGACATACGTGTCCAACGACATATGCAGTCCTCTTCATTGCATGCGAATCAACCATGCCACATTGCTACTCCGTTTCTGCGTAAGGCTTGTAGTTGTTGCTTCTGCCCGGCTTCTTTTGTAACAGGCAGCATGGTCTTCGACGCTTGCAAGGCTGGACTTGGACCTGGGGGCGGCTTGCACGTGTCGGACTTCATGGAGCTCTCGGGCAGCCTGACGGCAACATCTTGCTCTGCTGGTCTGGAGGATGGGGGTGGCCTCCATGTGGCCCACGGCCTGCGCCAGACAGCTGGCAGCATGAGGCTGGACAACTCATGGTAACCCTCTATTTCTGAGACTTTATTAGACCCGGTGGAATGCAAGATTTGTGTGCGTGCGTGCGAGTGCTTTGGAATGCGCCCTCGCATGAGAACTGCTACGTACATCTTGCCGAAGGGAGAAAGCAAGAAAGAAATAGAGAGAGCGAGAGAGGGAAGCTGCGCCGTCCGTCCAGGAGGCTGTGCTTGTTTCCGCCGGGCAGCCTTGTTGGAAGTGAACAGCTGGAAGTGGATGAAACCAGGTGGACTCGCTTCTTCTTCTTCTTCTTCTTCTTCTTCTTCTTCTTCTTCTTCTTCTTCTTCTTCTTCTTCTCGCAGGGGTATCTGAGGACCCCCCCCCCTCCCGAGCGCAATGCGCGTCCACGTCGAAATTCAGCATCACCTGCTGGACTGGCAGCATAAAAACCTTTTCTCTTCTGCTCTCTACGGGCAAGATCGCAGGAACTCAATCATCCAGCACATTCAAACGCAAGCATCCAGACCAGGCAGAGCAGGCTCAGGGCGCTTACAGCAGTCTCATCACAAGCACTATGGACCAGCGCCGGACCCCGTCGGATTTTGACACGCAGCTGCCACGCGGGTCCAAGATGGAGTCGAGCGATGTTGTGCACAGCACATAGCCGCAACAGAGCTCTGAGCAAGAAAGCACGCCTCAGGTGGCATTTGCTGCTTTGAAATCTTCACCTCGCAAGCACCACAGCCAGGCGGAACCACCACAGTAGCCGCAAAGCCAACTAAAGAAACAACGCCTCAACCTTCGGCGAGACAGAACTGGACCCCCCCCCCCCTCTAAACGGCAAAAACCAAACACAATTCGTCTCTGAGTGCGTAAGCCCGGGTTCATTGCTACTGGTATGAGGTAGACCTGCCTGGCAGGTTGACTTTGCAGCTGAGTTGAATGATGCTGCTGTTTGAAGGTTCTACAACTGCTCGACCGTCAAGAAGGGGGGCGGCATCAAAGTTGCTCGGGGCGGCATGAAGTTGACCGGAGGCGACAGAAGCTTCGCAGCTCGTTGGCGCATGACCAACTAGCTGCATAATCACTGCAACTGTCAATCGCATGTTTTCGAAGTTGCCTCCCCGGATGAGAGCGGGTTCAATTCAAGGACAACTGTTCTGCTGGAGTGTCTGGTGGCGGCCTCTATGTGCACTACGAAGGCGTGCAGTTGATCGGCAGCATCTCTTTCCGAAGCTGCAGTGGGGGGCCCAGGCCTTGAAGCTGACACGGTTTTGGGACTGATCGGAGGATTTGTTTTTTTGTCCCCACAAGTGCGACTGAAAATGGTGCGCGACTGTCGCCTGAGTGTCGAGGTGCCAAGCGTGAGGGCGGCGCCGCATTTGTGCAGTACGGTGGCTTCCATCAGATTCTTGGCACCCACCCTATCTTTTACCATCATACTGTATTTGTTTGCTCCAGTTGCTCCAAGTCCGGGGGCAACATGTAAGGAGCTCGGAGGCATTGCAGGATAGCGTCTCTTGCCTCAACTGTTCGGCCGGCAGCCGCAGTGGTGCTCTCTACGTGGGCGGGAGTGCGAGCTTCTCAAGCCCCGTGCTCTTGTCACAGTGCGCCTCGGTCTGATACCAAGCTTTAACATTAAAACGGGAGCGCGTCAGCGAGTGGCAAACCTCAGTGCCTCTTGCCATATGAGAGGCCGGGACTCGTCCTCCACTCCCTTTGCGGTGGCTGGACCACTTGAGCTGCGCTATGTCCACATTTCAGAAAAGGGTGAGCAGCACGCTTGCATCACCGCTGACGCGATGTGGCTTGGTTCTGGCTTTAGTCATTTTAGTGTGTTCATTGTTCACCAACTCGAGAGCTCTTCGATGTTTTTTCTATGCTGTCTGTGGCTTTCTGTGACTTCCGTGCTCCAGGAATGTCTCGAAGGCGAACTGCACTTCCGCTGGCCAATGCGAGTTCACCTCCAAGCAGCCCAATGTGTCCCGCTTGCTGTGCAAGCAGGGACGAGGGCGAACAGACGATGTGTCCCAAGGTTCCGTGATTCCGGCACATTCCAGCCGCCTTTCCCAGTCTCATCCTGACTTGCTCATAGTTCTTGCATTCAGAAAGATGTCGCTGTCACGATGATAGGCACACAAATTGGAGCAGTGGGCTGCTACATCTGCGATGCGGGAAGGCCGCACAGAGATTACTCTAAAGTGATGCCGCTTGCGTTTGTTTGCCAAGCTTGCTCCCTCGTTCTCCCCCCCTCTGAGTGTCTCTGACTCTGCCTCTTGAGCCTCCCTCCCCTTCTCACCCTCAACCTGTCCCCAGCCATGCCCAGGCCGCTGTACTCTGGTACTTAATTCACCATGACTCATGACTACCTCCGTCTCAGCAGCAGAGACCTTTCTCCGTAACAGCCTTGACTGCAACATTTCGGCTAGCATGCAGCTTGAAGGAGATGAATGGGCCAGGCTGACTTCGGCCGAGAGTGCTTGTCGCGACATGTTCGTGGGATTCGGCGAGTGCCGGAAGCTTGCCTCGAAGATCCTTGGGGCAGGATGCCCAGTCACATGCACGAGAAGCCAGGGCGGCGACCACCTGATGAACATGGCTAGCATCGACCTTCGCCAATAAAAGGCGATGATTCTGTCGAGGAGCTGCATCCTGGAACCTTAAAGGTTTTCATCCCAGATTCCAACGTGGAAACAGAGGTTGGCTGACAATTGCAAGCAGTGTATCTGCACAAGCGGGCATTGATGGCCCCTCGTCATATGGTGACCATGCCGCCGTCGGAGTCGGGTAGGAGTGAATCAGCCCTTTCGCTGCGCCTTGAGGGGCCTGCGTGTAAATTCGTGTAAGGGGACTCTTCCAACGTTTGTTGCAGAGCCTTCCAGGGCCGCAACTTTTCCAGCCGCCCGCAACTGCTCCAGTTGTTCGCCCTCCTCTCTGCCAGGGGTTCGTGCTGGGTCTTCTTTTGGTTTTCCTTTGCTGGGGTTTTTTCTTGGGTTGGTGCGTTGGGTTTTTGGTTTGTTTTGGCTTGGGTGTGGTGTGGTGTGTTGGGTTTCCGCTTGTCTCTTGGCAGTGGGGTGTGCGCACAGGCTCGCTGGTCTGTATAGTTTGCAGGTCGGTGGAGCTCAGGGTTTTTTCCCAAACGAGGTTTTTCCCTGAGCTTGCTTGCTTGAGTCTTGCGGCACAAGTCCACGAAGACGTACTCATGACCATATAGTTGAAGATTTAGTGAATCACAATGTCGGTGCACACAAGGCGTTTACAGTCGCAGCGTTCGTAGGCAAGTTCGGTGGAGATTGAATCTACTGCAGGCTCATGGAGCGAGCCACTGTCATCTTGCATTATGGCCAAGACAAGGACCAAAAGACCCCAGCCTCAGCGATGCTCCAGAAATCGCCCCTCTGCACCAGATCAAGCCGGAAGCCAGAAATCCCGGCCATTCAGAGGGAGCTGCACGTAATCCAGCACCATGCGGTGCCACAGAAGAATGGGCAAAACCTCCGAAGTCGTGGTGGAAGGGCCTAGGTGCACTATCCCCAGATCTCCTGAAGTGTTGTTCCCAGCTTTCAGCCGGGAAAGGAAGCCCAGGAGCCGGCTCCACTGAAAGGTGGCCCTGTAGTCACTGTAGTCACAGAGGCAGACAAGTAGCAAGTTCTGTCATCTCATGCCAGACTGGAAATTACGTCTTGTTGTCTCAGTGGTGCAAACGACGTAGATCAGTCCTGAGGAAGCTGCTCCGTTTCACCGCTCGTTGCTGCGAGAGGCCAGACCATGTACCGCTTCGGCCCTCGAAAAAAAAAAAACAACGTTCGTCTTGGGCACCACCAGGAAAAAGTGAGCACATTCTTTTGAGAAGTGTAGGTCTGTAGGTTCTTATCGTTCTTGTCATTCTTGTCAGGATCCAGCCTTTCAACGACTCCATGCCCAACCCGCCCTGCATCAAGTGCCCGAGCGGGGTCCGCTCCTGCACCTCCGAACGACTGCAGATGCAAAGAGGCCGGGGGGGGGGGGGTTAGGGTTTAGGGTTTCGGGTTTAGGGTTTAGGGATGTTTAGGGTTTAGGGGTGTTTAGGGTTTAGGGATGTTTGGAGTTTAGGGTTTAGGGATGTTTAGGGTTTCTAAAGGCAAGAAGGCCCTGCTTTCAGGTGTTGGCAGCCTGAGGGCCTTTGCCTTGCGGTTTTTCGGAGAGGCTGCCCGAAACTGGTGATTCCAGGGCGGTTTGGATTGCACAGTTCGCTTTTGAGAAAAGCAATGGGCTTCTGCTTTGTGCCCAATGCTTTGCCCTGAGGCTACATGATCTCGAAGGCCAACATGACCCAGCGCTACCACTGCCCGAATGCCATCGCCTGCCCAGGCGGAGACCTTCCAGAGGCAAAAGGGTGCAAAGCAAAGAGACCTCCCTGAAGGAAGAGTCCGCGAGAGAGAGGGAGAGTGGCCGCCGAGGCAAGGGGCCTCTCATAGTGCAGAAGAAGAAGAGGAGGAGGAGGAGAGCGTAGAGGTCCACTGAAGGGCTCCTGCGCATGCCCAGCAGAAGGAGAAGGAAAAAGAAGAAGGGAAGAGAGAGAGAGAGAGAGCACACGCGAGACCCTCAACACGACGGCTGCATGAGACGGCACAAACATAGCACTTTACATGGCTCACCTCCTTCGAAGGAGCTGGTGCCCATGTGCTCGCCGGGCTACAGCGGCTTGGGCTGTACCGATTGCATTGAAACCCACGGCTCCGCGGACAACACGGTGCTGTCCTGCGTGCCCTGCGCCACCTCCGTGTGCCGACCTCAGGGCCTTCCTTACACATTTGAGTCGTCACCATCTTGCATCATCGCAAGCTCGACTTGGGGATTTCAGGGCTTGTTGGCTACGTCTTTTTTCCACACTCGCTCTGCTCGATCCGTTCTAGGTCCAAATGGGCTGTGCAGGCGCCGCGCGCTGAGATCTTCACGAGCTCGTTAAGAAGGTTGAGAGCTGAGAGAGGGGTTCGAGAGAGTTAAGCTTGCGCAGATGCTGAGGTTCTACAGCATTGTCAAGGATGCGGTGATCTTTGCGCTGGCCATCTCCAGCGTGATGACTGAGTCCTTGCTGCATCTACTGAAGCTCTCCTTCGTACACTCCTTTACCGACGCTGGAGCCCCAGAGGCCGGCTCGGAGGCGATGCACTCCACCGTCCTCTTGAATCAGCAGCTTGGGTGTGAACAACGGGAGGGGGGCATCTGTACAGCTGTAATTAGGGGGCTTCTAGCAGCTTCTGGCTGTGCTGTGCTGCTGTGCTGCTGTCGTGCTGTCGTGCTGTGGTGCTGTGGTGCTGCGACCTTGATGGCAATCTTCAACTGGCAGACACCCCATTGTTTTTAAAAACAAACAGAGAAGCTAAGAAGCCCCAGGCTTTGGAGGAGAAGTGAAGGGCTTTTTAGCTCCCCCTCCCCCTGTTGCTTTGGCATCTTTCTGCTCAGTTGTTGAGCTGTTCAGGCTGATGTCGTTTGCCACAGTGGCGGGCACAGCACTCTCCGCCGCAGGGACCTTAGATGCTTTGACCTCTGCGCTTTCCCTCATGGTCTGCACATTGCACATGGCATGGGCGACGCCGCATTCAAGGTCATGCAAACCAGCACTTTCTCGAAGCTAAGCGAAAGCTTGCAGAACCTGTTGGTGGGCTCGGGCATCATGGTGGACGTTGCACAGGGGGTGCCGCGGCAACGCAACATCCATGGGCATGAGCTGGTCAACATTGTGTGGGTGTGTTGTTGCTGACTGCTCCTCACAGTGTATATCTGTTGGCTTACCTTTCCCAAGATTTTCTTTGTGCCTCGGATGGAGTTGACCGCCACATTGGCGATCCCAGGGCGCTTCTGGGAGTATCCCATCTGCTCCAGCCACCTCCAAATCCTGTTTCGTGCTCATCATGGAATGGCAGCCATGGCACGAAAACAACACAAGCAACGAAACTTAAGCGACAAAGACCCACATCCAATGTCTAAGCACCATTTGTTCTTCTGAGGCTTTATGTTAGGGGCTGTTTTCCCTATGCCTGCAGTTTTTTTTTTTACAGACTTTTTTTGGGAGGGCCAGAGCGGTGGACTGTCTACCAGCTGCCTTGCGGAGTTCGTGGGCCTGCCGAAGACGCTGCTCGGCAGCAGTGATCAAAGGAGGCAACCCCCTCCTGTAACCCCAAACATCCCCAAGCCCCCTCGCCCCAAAAAAAGGCGCCCCAGAAACCCGGGAAGCCCGCGTCTGCCACCGTGAGAGTCGGAGCTCCGTTCGGTAGTCTCGTAGCGCGAGGTTGTGGATGGCCCACATCCTGCGGTCCGCCACGCCCGCGGTGTTGATCGCCTTTCTGAGCATCTACAAGGATGTGAAGATGCTTTAATAAGACCTTTGGTGTGGGGGTTGCTGGCCTGCTTTGTTCTCTCCACACACATGGTGAGCCCTCTATACTTCTGGGTGCTCCCCAGTGTCATGATGCTTCGTGAGCTGGCGGAGGGCGAAAAAAACCCGCCCCGAAGGACCCCTGGCTTGCCCTGGTGGTCGGGACAAACTGCTTCTTGCCCGAGTTCTGCGCCGGCTTCGGCAAGTACTTGGTGTGCTTCCGCGTCGAGAAGGCGCCCCTATTAAGAGAACAAGCGGGACATCCTGAAGTCTTTTTTGTTCCCCTCCCTAACTCTTTCCAAGACACCTTATACCTCTTTGTTGGAGACCAACATTTATTACAGAAAGCTTGGGTGCGTTTGGGAAATGTCCGGTTCAGGTTCCTTCCTTCCCCCCTCCCCCCCCTTCCCACGCTTGCGCTGTGAGACTACCAGGAGAGGAGAGGTGGAGAGCTGATGTGCAGCTTCTTACCCGACATTCCCGTGGCGACGGCCCTGATCACAGGCGCGCCCGTGGGTTGCGCGTCGGGAATTTTCAAAGGGCGAACCCTGGGCTGAGAGAGCTGAATGTCAGCTCCCCTTGAGCTATGCGCTTTTTAGGTCTCATGCCTGCCTCCGCAGGCATGATCATCCTCTGCTTCTTGGTGGGCGTTTGCGGCTGGATGCTTGCAGCCTCCTCCAAGACGACCCCGAAGCCGCCTCACGTGGTGTACTTGACCAACGCCTACAAGGCTTGGGCACGGTTTCGTGTGGCGCACTGTAAACGGGTTGACGATGATTGAGGTGCCAGTGCGGAGAGTGGGGGCTCACGGAAAGCGCAGAGCATGTAACGGGCAGCAGGCAACGGGAATCCAGTGGCAATCCTGAGTGGACTGAGCGCAGAGGAAGAGTTTGCAGCTTGGGAAGTCGAGCGCTTGGTGCGAAAGCCCCTTGGCTTCTGAATTTCACATTCCAGCAAAAGGGAGGTCCCCGCCATGTAGTAGTGCAGAGGCACTATCGCGAAGATGGATACACTCCCCATCCCCCCCCCCCTTTGGGTTTCTAAGTTCCATCTTTCCGATAGGCGTGCTCAGGTTGATCGAATGTCTGGGTTTTTCAGTGGGTTCGGGGCTTGAGTTCTCAGCGTGCTACCGTGTCAGTCGCAGTCTTCATGCGCTAAGCCGCTAAGCCTTGCCCCGTTCCACGTAAATGTGGGAACAAGCGCCCCGAAACATGGGAACACGCTCCCCGAAACATGGGAACGCGCTCCCCGACAAGTAGGAACACGCTCCCCGTTCCCCTGAAAAAAGCGCTCCCCATTTCGCCGAGAAATGCAAACGCGCTCCCCGTTTCCTGAAAATGGGAACGTGTAACAATGGACAATGACAATTAATCCTGATGATGATGATGATGATGATGGATTAAGATTTAAAAGTGTATACGGAGGTAATATATGTGAAGTATTCAGTAGCATATATCATTCCCCCACACAACAAACTGTTTCCATTTATTTGTAAAGGTATTTTGTATTTAAGTATTCAGTCAATTACTGATTAAGCATCAAGCCGTTTACAACACATCATTAGCATCTGCTTTCAGTAGGTTAACGAAAAAACAGTATGGTTCTTCTGTTACTACGTTATACACTTCTAATTCGAATTTCTTTGCTTCGGCGAGGTTAGTATCTGCTACACTGTTGATGTTCAGTAAGAGTGACACTCAATTCTTCAACCATTGTCTCTATCTTTTGTCGCCTCTGAACCTAAAGAGGAATACGTGACGGCTGTTGACACGAAGAATTGGAGGCATCCATCTTCGCGATAGGCGTGCCTCCGCACTACTCAGCTGCCCCCCCCCCCCCCCCCGCCCGCCCGCCCCCGCCCCGCCCAGGATGCTGCTCACTTTGGTCGGCGCCGTGCTGCCCATCACCTTGCAGCTAGCCTACGAAGGATACACACAGCACCTACAGGGGCCTTACACCGCAACCAGTGGCTGTTTAGATGTCGATGAGGTTTTACTCGGCAGAATCGTGAGTGGGTCCTTGATTGAATCTCGGTGCTGGTCCTCTAGCATCTTGCAGCACACAAGCCGCACAATTCGGCAAATTCTTGAGGGCGCCGGCGCTCCAGCTGGCCTGCCTCAGCGTGATCCTCGTCCTGTCCCTGGTCGCGTACCTGCACCTCCTCCCGTACAAGGAGAAGGCGCCTGACCGTAAATGGAGTCGAACACGAGCGTGAGGGGAAGAGAGGGGAGGGAGGGAGTGGAAGAGAGGGAGGCAGGGAGGGGGAGAGAGGCAGACAGCGGGACCTGAGCCGCGGCCAGTAAACTGAGGCCTTCAACCTGATCGAAGCGGCGCTGCTTTCGGATGCGCTGATCGTGACCGCCCTCTCCAACTCACTCTTGGCCAACGCCCCTTTGGCATCTTTGGGCGTCTTTCCCTCCGTTTCCCCTCCTTTCCCCTCCTCCTGCTCTTTTTGTCTTTTTTTCTTTTTTGACAAAGTCATGGTGGCAGGGCGCTTTCTTTGCACACATTTTGTACTGACAGGCCTCCCACCGATGTTCTCGCTCTCTCGCTCTCTTTCTCTCTTTTTTTTTTTTTCTCTCTCTCTCTCTCTCTCATTCACTCTTTGCAAAAAGTGCCATCTGAGGACTCGAACTGGGCGAAGACGGCAACGTGACTGAGTTGTTTCGGGTGCTTTCCACAGAAGCGCTCTGTGATACGTCCCTGCTGAGGAAGCAACCAACCAGCTCCTGCTTTTCGTCACTGCGCTGCTGGCCACTGCGGGGGCTGGAGGTGCCTTGGGCTGGGCACGGGGGAATGGTCGGGGGGAACGGGGTTAGCGGCGGCCTCGGATTTCTCGTGTCTCGAAGAAATCTGTGTGTTTTCAGTGCTTTTGCAACTGGAGGCATGCTCCTTCTTCTCATCCGTGCTCATCTCCGCGAGCACGCAGCGGGAGCGAAGTCGCCAGAAGCCTCTGACTAAGTGAGCCATTGATTCAGCCGTCGCAGCTTGCCAGACAGCTGTCGTGGCCGGAGCGCCTTCGACAGAAAACGTCGGGGTATGTCTCAGCAGCCATCGGAAGGCCACAGTGTTTGGAAAAGGGTGGCTGAAGCCTCGTTTGGCCATCCCTGGGCTGTGTTCTGTAATGGCTGTAATGGTATGCCCGGACATGATAAGCGGAGCACGATGCCAAGGGTGCGGGTAGGGGCAAGTAGAATCGTGAGTGAGTTAATTGTAAACTCTGGCCCTTTCAAAGGGGAGAGGGCCAGAGGGGGGCGTTCTTCAAAGCTTACACGCCCTTTTCAGGGGGCAGCGGTCCTGAGCGCTCGGCGGTCCTTAAATGATAGATCTCGATACACCAGGCTCCTGGATCCGAGGGGTTTTCGAGAAATTGCGGTCTCCACCACCCGGGGGGGTTTCTGGGGGTTTCCAAGGGTCTTCGGTGGGGAAACAGGAGTCCCTCTTCTGATGCCCGCGGCCTCTTTAGCACCACTTAGCCGCTACATAGATCCTTTGGGGAGAGCTTCCTGCGCTCCTTCAACTTGTGGCTCACCTGCGCTACGCAGACATACCACTAGCTCAAAGCATGATTCCCAAGTCGAAATCGGGAAAGTCGAGCAGGCTGGAGCCCGTAGGGCCACAACAGTAGCAGGCTGTGCGGGTGCGGTGAGGAGCGGTAGCAGGAGTGTCTGTGTGTGTGTGTGTGCGCGCGTGTCATCGCGCATGGAGCACTTGCATCGGCCAAGCCACCCGGGGCCGAAGGTCCAAAGGGGTGGCTCGCGGCGGTTTGTTGCTTGGCGAAGTGGCCCCAGATGGAGGGACGAGCGGTCGGCGTTGGAGAAGGTGAATGATGGATCCTTGCTGAAGGGTCTGGCTTCGAGGTCCACCGAACTTGCGGACAGGCCTTTTGGCATGCCAGGCGATTCCGAGGAGGCAGTTTGGGTGGAGTACTTTCGCGGAGTGAAGACCACTTGGCGCATTTGCTTCACTGTCAAGAACTTCACACTTCTCCGGCATTTGCAGCGCCAGAGCGACTGGCTAGAATTCCGACAGGCTTTAGTCACATGGACACGTGTCGGACTTGAGAAATCCCTGGTGCTTGGACAAGGTGACTTCAGAGCCCCTGTGTCGAAGATCGTCGTGGAGGCTGTGAGGCTACTGAGCGGCGGACAAGGCGAAGCCGCCACGACTGCCACGTTTGCCGCCAACGTTTCCTTGCAGTCGGCAGGTGAGCCGGGCACGGTGGAGGAGTCGATGCGGAAGGCCATGACGAGCCGGGGCCTTCAGGTGGACTTTGCCGCCGGTGTCGCCGGATTGCTGCAGCGCCTCGACAGCGGCGCTCGAGTTTCTGCGAAGGAGGTTATGGTGGCCCAGGAGCTTCCACGTGAGATCGAGCTGCGCGGCGGAATGCGTGAGCAGCTCTTCATCGCAGCGGTGCCAGACTGCAGCCGGGCCGCCAACCATGGCCTCTGTGAGGGTTTCGAGCTCGTGGCCATCGTTGTTGGGACAAGTTCTTCAAGTTCTTCAACCGTCCAATCGGTTTTGGAAGGCCAGGCCTTGCAGGCTCTTCGCAGCGACCAGGTGCTGAAGCTGCCCTCTGTCCCGGTGCGGCTCTGCTTCCGCAGCCCCTTCGCCAAGCTCCCGCGCTTTTCCTCGAAGCAGCTGGGCGACAGACTCGGCTCCTCAGTGGCAAACGGCAGATCAGATGGCGGTACTGTGGCACACCTCATGGCGTAGCATGCATCATCATCTGCCATCATACTCGTACGTTACCGTTACATGCACGGCCACGATAGCCCGTAGATGCGGTGCCCATACAATATACGTCCCTATACACAAAACGAAGACAGTAAACGGGTACACGCCCCATGTTTCTAGAAGATGCCGAGCAAAAATTGTCGACTGTTGTCAGCGAGGCTTCAGCAAAATCCGCGAGCCACTTGGTCTTGTGACTCCTTAGGTGTGGGCAGTCTCTTAGAATCATCCCGACCTTGTCGGATTCCGCGTTGCGCGCGCGTGCTTGCTCTCAAGACTCCCCGTGTCCTGCCAGGCTGCATTTCCGCCGGCTCGTGCAAAACTTGAAGTTCGACTGGCAACCTCTTCATGTGGAGAAGCGCCATGAAGCACGGCGACTACATGGGGCCTGCGAGGCAGACCAGGAGGGAGGCGCGGTGCTCGCTGACACCATTCAGTGGGGCAACAGGGAACTGCAGCGCCGCTCGATACTCCGCATGGACTGCCGATCGGATCAGCTAAAGCTGTCAGAGCTGGGTGAGATACCCCTCCCTGAGAAGCTGGAGGTGGGCCGGCCGCGCGATGCACGGAAGCTTCGCCTGAAAGACCTCCGAGGAGCTCTGCGCCAAGCGGGCATACACTGGCTTCGGGAGCCCGAGGCAAGAGTGCTCCCCTAGTTTCCTTTCCTTAACTCAAGTCTTATGATTCTTCCTTACACCTTCTTGAATAGGTCCGGGACTTCAACAGTCGTGTGACGGCTCCCAGTACTCAGGGTGCTGGTGGTCCATTGTGACCTTTCCCTGACAGGAGCAGCTGCTGCTGGAGGTCCTCCAGCGGGAGCGCTCCGAGGGCTCTGCATCCCAGGGGTCCCAGGGAGAGTGGGAGCCCTGGGAGGAAGACCTGGCCGACGCCTTTGTCATCGACTCTGCTGGGCACTTTTCGAAGATTGGCTCGGGCGTCCTGAGGATCCAGCACGTTTTTCACGTCACCCGCAAGATCAGGGAGACGCTGCGCTGCAAAGCAGAGGCCAAGGGTGGCCTGGTACGTGCATCGATTTCCAGGTCCGAGTTTGCCAGCCTCCTGAACGCTGCTGGCATCGGGTGGCTAACCCATGAGCAGTTGGATGAGATGTTCTCAGTGATCGGAGGTGCCGATGCAGAGGCTCGCAGTGGCTGCGGAGAGCAATGAGAGAGCGGTACGCTGCAAGACTCAGTTGACTCAATTGACTCAGTTGACTCAGTTGACCTGAGGCCGGCATCAGCCTCAGCGACTGGGTGTCTCGCTTCTCCTGGGACCCGATGCAGGCAGCGATGGAGGTCGAGCGGGTGCTGGACGTGTGGGCTCGGCGCTTCGACCGATCCGTGCCTTACCTGAGACTCTGGAATGCCCAGACCGGGCGTGCCACGGCGAAGCCCCCGATGCGGCCGCGAGGCTTAAGGTTCTGGGACTTCCATGGGGTTCTGACAGAGATGGGGGTGAACTTCCTGACTTTGCAGCAGCAGCGCCTGATGTTCCAGTCCCTGGATTCCAATCGCGACGGCCGCGTGGATTTGGAGGAGCTCCAGAACTTCTCCCAGAAGAGGATGCAGATCGAGTTGCGCCGGGAGGAGGAGATGGCGTCAGGGGCGGCCAGAGAGGAGTCCTTGCAGGGCCACTCGCAGTCAGAGTCACAAGCATCCGAGTCCAGGGAATCACCGAACTCGGAGAACTCCAACGACCAAAGCCCACAGGCCGAAGCCCAGGCAGCCGAAGCACAGGCAGCACAGGCCGAAGCAGCACAGGCCGAAGCCGAAGCCCAAGAGGCCGAGGCCATGGAAGCCATGTATGAGTTCAGCGAGAGCCAGGGACGGCTGAACAGCCCAGCTAGCCCAGCTAGCCCAGCCAGCCCAGGCTACACCGAGTACACCTGGAGCGAGGAGCAATTCGTGGAGGCATCTGACCGGGAGAGAGAGGAACTCCGAGAAGCACTCGGAGAGGACCTCCACGGGCTCGAGGCTCTCGAGGATTCTGCGGGCCGCGCGCAGCTTGGAGCGAGCCCCCCTCGCTCGCAGAGCGAGAGCCCCAACAGTCAGAGTCAGAGTCCTCACAGTCCGGCAAGCGGCTACCCCGATTCCTTCGACAGTCGCTGAAAAGCAGTCCTCAGGGCAAGAAGTAGGCAGTTATCTGTTGGCAAATGAGGCAATTTGCAGCGTGCGGGCAGTTTCCGTTCTGTGCACAGACACCTGTCAAAGCAAACGTCTGGACCTGCCTTCCCAACCCTGCGCGACCGTGAAACTGTGAAACTTGAAGGTCCAATCGCTTCTACGGGTCCTTATAGATAGGGAGGATTTGGGGAGAGAAGGCACAAGAGTCTACCGACTTGTATGTGTGAAAGGTAGCCCGGGAACTGCAGTGTTACAGACAGACTCCGCCCAGCGCAGGTCACGGGCTGAAGTCCATTGCGGGTCTGAGTGCCCCCGCATGTGTACAAAGCATGTGATGGCAGCTTACGGGAGCCCAAAGCCGCTGATACAAAGGGGCCAAAGCGCCCCCACCTCGTTTTCTGAGGCGGTTGGCGCCAGGAAAAGCGCCCTACCGAGGCTCCACGCCCAGCTAAATCGTCTTGGTCTTGGGGCCATCTTGCCAGAATGCTCGCGACGTCATCCAAGAGCTCGGCCGGCTGGCAAGTCGGCGTCCTAGGAGTCCTAGAGAGTTTACTTGGCAGCTGGTCATATCATCTGGCAATTCTCTCAACTGCCACTGACACCGAGTCGGGGACCGCGATCCCACCGTGCGGGCGGCTTCCTGCGATGCGCCGCCCGGCGGAAGATGCGAGAAGATGCGAGAAGATGCGAGACCGCTGTCATCCCTTGTAGAACAAAGCAACCGAGGGAGACATAGCAATTATAACAAATTGGCAGGCTCGGAAACGTGCTGGCCAGCAGCTCAGCATCAGCCTGGGATCATGATGTGGTCCACCTGGAAAGACTTTTTAAGAGTGACAATGTCAGCCAATGCTTGGTGCTGAGGAAGGAGCTCCTGAGCTGCCGCCGCCACCCCCTCCAGAGGGCGAGGATGCTGAGGACGTTGAGAAGCAAAAAGGGGCCTCTTCCGCTCCGCATCTCCTCCAATCTCTTAATGTTCTTGCACCAGCCAACATCGAGGATTCGACAGGCTGTCACTCTGCCGACCTGTCTGAGTACCTTACTCTTTGGGGGGGCCGATAGGCCGACACTCAACGTTAAGAAGCAGCGTCACATGACCATCTTATTAAAGAGCAGAGATGCCAAGCACCGGTCTTGGAGAGTGCGGGTCGCACAAGAGATGACTAAGAGCGGGGGGGGGGGGGCGGGGGCAGGGAAAGGGGGGAGCGATGGGGAGCGCGCTTGTTGGTGGTTTCGGGTTCGTAGGGGTAGGGCGGAAGCAGCTTAACGTGAGAAAGCGGGGCATGTAGGACGGACCGGCCCCTGACAGGAGGAAGCCGACCCGGAGCCGGCATCTCCAGAGGCCTAGGGTTTCATTGTGGAAAAGGTGACCTTGGCCTTTGCGGACACGGAGCACCTTCACATTTTAAATCTTGTTCTTGTTTTTGCATTGCACGAAAACGCGAGGCATGTCCAGAAACCTCGGCATGCTTTTCTCATGCGAAACACTGCTGGGGATCCCTTCTGATCATTGCTCACCTGCATCATGCATCGGAGAGGACGGGGACGCGGAAGGGGACGGGGAGCCCGGCCCTGGAGCTTCCGCTGTCACTGTACACTCGAAGCGGGTTTTGGAGATGCCGTGGATGTTGATGATGCCATTCTCGGTTCGCGAATTGGTTCTAAGGGGCAGGCCAAGGGCTCGCACCGACACGGACGAGGAGGCGTGGATTCATTGTCAGACTCTGCTCAAAAGTCGCCCAGTGTGAAGACGCCATAAGTCATAAGTGCGAAGTCGGGTGTGTGCATGGCAGTTGTACGGCGTGCTGATGCCCTCGCGCCTCAGCCCCCAGGATCTGCAGCCTTTGGTGGTGTCAGTTCGCTATATTGCCCGGCTTCTGCAAAGTGACGATTACGCCAGGGCCCTTGCAAGTGGATCCAAGTCATACAGCAAGTTCCAGAGTACGTTCCAGAGCCGACACTTCTCTGCTTCGCGCCTGCAAGCCGTGTCATTATGTTGGCGCCTTGTTTTGTAATCCAGGCGAGCAGTTCCTTGCGATTTACCTCTGCAAATGTTTGGCAGCCTTGGTGGGGTCAGTCAGCCACACTCTGCGTGTGACATCTTGTGACAGTGGGCAAGTAATGACAAGCATGTTCGAGGTTTATGATTACACTTGCAACTTCATGCGCGACACCTTTCCCGCCAGTCCCATCCCTGACAGCCTGCGGCCCTTCGTCGGCCGCTGCGCCCGCTGAAACCCTTCGCAAGTGAGAGCCATGGCATCCTTTGGCCGCAAGCCCAAAGTGGCGAAGTCGGGTGTGGGCTCCACCCGAGAGGACAAGAAGGCAAGGGGGAGGGAGAGAGGGAGAGGGAGAGGGAGAGGGAGAGGGAGAGGGAGAGGGAGCGAGAGAGAGAGAGCGAGAGAGAGAGAGAGAGAGAGAGAGGCGGGGCGGGAGAGGTTGCGGAGGAAGAGAGATACTAAGAGGGGAGGATTGAGGGGCGAGGGAGATGGGAGAGGGAGAGGAGCGGGAGCGGGGAGGGAGAGGGAGAGGGAGCGGGAGAGGAGAGGGAGCGAGAGAGAGAGGAGGAGAGAGGAGAGAGGGAGAGGAGAGGGGAGCGAGGGGAGAGGGAGAGGAGAGGGAGAGGGCGAGGGGAGAGGGAGAGGGAGAGGGAGAGGGAGAGTGCAGAAGAAGAAGAAGAAGGAGAAGAAGAAGAAGGAGGAGAAGGAGAGCAAAAGAGAAAAGGGAGAGTGAATCGAGAGATGTCTAGGTTTGAAGGGGAGTTGCAGAGGAAGCTGGAAACTGACAGGACCGCACGTCCTTGAAGGAGCTCCTGGCAGAGGAGGCGGAACGCGAACGCTTCGCTGAAGAGCCTCGTGGATGCAACGAATCGAGCTGTGGAGGGTTTGCTTGCGAGCACGCTTAACGGTGTCATGGCCAGGACCTGCAGCTTGCCATTGCGCCATTGCGCTTCTTTTCTGGGTGCAGAGTCAGAGAGTCAGCCAAAAAAAAAAGGCCTCGAAAGTAGACAGAGACGCGACAGGAACGAGCGAAGGAGAAGAGAGTGACCGCTTGTGCACGTAGAGTTTGCTCCTCACAGCGGGCCCGAAAAAATACACACAGACTGCGGAAGCCCCACGGAGCCCCCAAGTACTGAGAGCCCCCAAGTAGGCAGTCGTGGCATATCGGCGTCCCCAGGTGTCATGTCATAAGGGGTGTCCCCCTTTAGAGAGGGCTCGGCTTAAGCTCCTCTTTGTGTTTTCATATGGTTTTTCCATATGAGGTTCGATCAGAAGGAGAAGGCCGCCGAAGCGGAGCGCCGGAAGGAGGCCAAGGACCCGGGCTGCCGCAAGCATTTTGACTCCGTTTCGAGTTCTTTTTTGAGGGGAGGGGGGGGGTGGGGAAAGAGGGGGGAGGATACGGGAGCATGTCCGAATTGAACAGACTTGAGCATATGGTCATCGCTATTTTCTCTGCACTTCGCCTCAGGGTGCGCCCCTTTCTCAGGATCAAGACCGGCAGAAGGAGGAGCAGACGAAGGCCGCCGAAGCGAGGAAGGGAAAGCCGAACCCGGTCGTCTTCCTGGAGATCGAGGCGGGGGGTGCCCTGTGAGCGCCACTCGCAGTTAAAAGCAGCTATGTTGAAAGTCTTGTGAGTTCACCTTCATTATCTTGAATCCACAAACACGAAAAAGTTGACAACAACAGTGTGGCCAGTGTCACAAAGAAGTCGTCGGGGGGCGCCTGCCAGAGTAGAAGTTGCGAGTAGCTAAGTCTCTCGAAAGTGTGTTCCTCCTGAGAAGGTGCGCGGCCCCGCTGGCTACGGAGAGCGCCAGGGCCGTGTGGAGGCTTCCGGGCGCTTGGAGATCGCACCTCTGCACGCAACAAACACTGGTGTATTCATAGCATGTGCATGCATTATATATTCACATGGGAATACATGGTATATGACGACCTGACATTCCACAGGGCATCGGCATCCATCGTGCACATCGGATTGCAGCATGTAGACGCATCAGATTGCAGCTTGCGGATTCTTGCGGCGCCCAGCTTGCGGACTGTCAGTCGCGTCTTCGCAAGCGCTGTTCGAGCCCAGGAGCTGTTTGCAGACGTGGCGCCGCGAACGGCCGAGCACTCATCACTCAACCGATTGCACATAGTTCGGAGGCGTAGGAGGTGTTCTAGGAGAGGTGTTGGTATGGGTCTGATAGGTGTGATAGGTGTGGTGCGAGTTTGCGGTGGGAACTGGCCAAGGCCGAGAACTTCCGTTGCTTGTGCACTGGGGAGAAAGGTGGAGCTCGTCGACATAGATGCTTCCGTTCCACATCCTTGTTGTTTGCCGCGCGAATGCCTTGACGGTTTAGTCAAGGCCTGTATAGAGTGCCCTCCCCCCCCCCAGTATAATAGTATGCTGCAGAAGGCTCTTAAAAAGGGCTGGGCGCCTCACCTGCAGGCCGCGATCTTTGCTTCAAGGGCTCCGTGTTCCATCGAATTATCCCTGGCTTCATGGCCCAGGGAGGGGACATCACAGACGGCGATGGCACAGGAGAACATGACTCACTGATACTCACCATCCGCTCTTCATCCGAAATTGGGTTGAGGTGCTTTGCTGGCTTTTTGCAACAGGAGGCAAATCCATCTACGGCCCGAAGTTTGCCGACGAGTCCTTTGTGCGGCTACATGCAAGGGCAAACCTGCTCTCCATGGCCAACTCTGGGCCGAATGCCCGGAGAGTTGAGCACCCAAACATGGCTTTATGAGTCTCTCTCTCAAGGGTGAGAGAGAGTGAGAGAGAGAGAGAAAGAGAGAGAGGGAGAGCGAGAGGGAGTGTGGATAGAGAGCCAAGAGATTGTTCGCACCCCTGCTCATGGAAAGGGCGTCCAACTGACGCTCCCAATGCGCTCTCTTGTAGGCCGAACACCAACAACTCCCAGTTCTTCATCCTCTTCGGGCAGGCCTTCAGGGGTCCCTCTGCTCCGCCAGAGAAAAAAGAAACGAATGTAACACTCGGCCAGGCCTTTGGCTGAGGATCTAAGTTTCACGTGCTTCAAAGCAACTGCTGCGCGGGGGTGTCAGCTTGGGGGAATCCGTAACCCAGACTCCTTTCACACCCTGAGGTATTGTGGAAGCTCCGCGGGAGAATGGTTTTGGGGACATGACCCTTCATCCCTGAAGCAGAGTAGTGAGTCCAAAGTCTTGAGCCCGAAGCTTGGAGCGTGGAGTCGTTGAAGCTGATCTGCCCTCTGCTAAGTGTTATAGGGTGTCAACACGAAGTTGGGGCAGCTGGGCAGTCGGTTGAAAGCAGCCATGGAGGGATGCTCGCCAAAAGGGGATACTTATAAGGGACCAGAGCGATCTGTGGGAGCCAGTTAGTTCGATGTACGCAGCTTACTTCGCAACAGGCCCAGTCATGTCACGCAGACTGACCTTTGCTAGCTGCTTACGTACATTTGAAATAGTCATCTGCCTATTCACATGTGCTCCTCGTTCAAGTTTCTTCTTCTCCCTTGCTTTCGCCTTGTAAGAGGCGAGACATCTGGACCGAAAGCATGTGGTCTTCGGTGAGATCCTGCGCGAGGATGGGCAGGCAGAGTACCGCTCGCGTCTCACTGTGCAGTTCTCGCAAGGATTGCGTTTTTGGGTAAAGTAAGTGGGCAGTGTGAGAGGTCATGAAGCGACTTCAAGATTGCGGATCGGAGTCGGGCGAAGTGAAAGGCGAGGCGCTTGCAATGCCTTCGAATCCTTCCGACGCTCCGTCCATGATAAGATGTGGGCCCTGCAACAAATGCATTCCGGAACCTCCTGAGAAAAGAAGCCATCAACCATCTATGTGCATGTTTATGAGCGCCCTTACATGAGAGATCATGTGAGGCTCCGTGGTCATCAGGGCCTGCGGGGAGCTGCGGGGCCGGGCCGACGAGCAGAGCTCCTTCGAGCGGTTCCGCCGCTCGCGGAGTCGCACGCGCTCGACGAGCCGGCGACGGAAGCAGCGGAAGTGCTACATCTGAGGCATATAGACGAAGATCAGATGTGCATGGTGATGTTCGGTATGTGTATGTATGTGTATATGTATATGTATATGTATATGTATATGTATATGTATATGTATATGTATATGTATATGTATATGTATATGTATATGTATATGTATATGTATATGTATATATATACATATATATAGATATGGATGCATGTATATAGATAGATAGAAATCTACGTGTGTAATTACCGTCTACACAGACTTGATCGTGTATTAATTCCACTTCATTTGATTCCGTTTCTGCATCTGGCCCATGCGAAGCTCCCACGTCTCCCCGGAGGCCTCGCTTGGCTCGTTCCAAGCATGGGTGTCGCAAAGCGCAGCTTCGCGCTCCGTTTCGCGCTGCTTCGCTCCCAACTGGAAAAAACAAGAGAGCGTTGCAAAACCGGCCGCCCCTCAACCTCTTGAGATGAATGCTTTCAAGCCTACTTGGGAACTACCCCGAAACTACCACCCAACGCAAGGCCAGTGTGCGCCGATCGGCAGCGGCCGCTTTGGGGTCTATCGGCCCGGGCCCCGGGCCGCGGAAGCTCCTTCTTCTTGGGGTGTTTAGGCTTGCGAGGGTTGCGAGGCTTGCGAGGGTTGCGAGGGTTCACGGCTTGGTGCCCTCGCAGATGGTTCGTAGGATGCAACATGAAGGGTCCCTCTCCGAGCTCACGGAAACTGGACAAGAGTTGCCCTGGCCCCCCAGGCCAACTTTCAGGATGTGACCGTCAGTCAATCCCACCGGAGCTTAGCTCGACCAACATCGGGAAGAGGCTTTGACAAGCTTCGACGACATACCGACATACGGAATCATACGGACATACGGACATTCTAGGGCATCCTTGTGTACATAGCTAGTCAGCCATTTGCTGGGGATGGAAGCGGCAAGAAGTCCGCCGCAAGCGCCGCTCGTCCTCGCGGCAACATCTAGCCTGGCATGCAGAGCCTGGCTCCGCGCAAGACCCTCGGGCGGCAAGGCCACCCAAAGTGGCCAAAACGCCTGAGCCACCTTCCCAATTCTTGGTCGGAAGCTGCTGGCAATCAATCTGACTTGTATATGTACTTGAAGCCCTCTGCCCTTCTTGTAGCCGGTGTGTTTTCACGGCCAGGCACTTCTCCCTGCTCGCGTTCGGCTCGCGTGCGATGTGCGCGGATTGGGCTTGGGATGCTTGGCGCCTGCTCTCTGCCTCGCGCTGTGGGCGAAGAGGGGCCAGCGAGGCCGGATCTCGCACCCCAAACGCTTAAAACATGCTAACGCCCAATACGCGAAACTGATCCATCTTCGGTGAGAGGCCCTCGAGGGCTTTTGCCACTCCGGGCCGCTGCAGCTGCCAGCGATGCCAGCGACGCGGGCGACGCGCACAGCGACGCGCGCAGTGGCGCGCGCCGCGACGGCGCTGCTCGAAGCCTGCGGGCTTTGACGGAGGCCTTCCCAGCAGCTCGCCTCAGGGAAGCACATGTTACTTCAGGGTGCATTCAATGGGTCCATGATGAAATCACGAGCTTCGTGAACTCTTGGCACGAGTCGTGAGAGAAGGCAGTGGCTCAGCTCTCCCAACTCTCGAGCCGAGGATGTTCCAGACTCGGAGCTGAACCGCTTCGCCCGGGCTCGGTGGCGAAAGCCCGAAGCTGCCCTCGTCACTTTGTGGAACGCAACTTGAGAAGAGGATGAAGAAGCCAGAGAGAGAGGGCGGGTGACTCCCTGCGAAGCCCCTTCAGAGAAAGAGAGAGGAGGGAGAGGTTAAGTGCGCAGAAAGAAGAAGTGAGAGAGAGGGTGTCCCCTTGCGTTTCCTACACCAACTGTCAGCTCCCAGGGAAACCAACAGCAATTTTTTAAAAAGTTTTTTAAGAGGTGAGCAAACCCGGTATTGGAAGAGGGGCCGATCTGAGAGCCACACCGTTTAAAACACACACAGTTCACAGTTTCAGTGCTTTCAGGCAAGCCCGTCAATTGGGGTGATTTCACACACGGACTCGGTGATGGCACGCTCTCTGGGCGGCCTCCTCCTTCGGAGGGGGTCAAGTGCTTGGAATGAAGAAGCGAGAGAGAGGGAGGGAGAGAGAGGGAGAGAGAGAGAGAGAGGGAGAGGGAGGGAGGGAGGGAGGGAGGCCAATCCTTGCTGTAGTCCTTTAACCGGAGCCAAGTCACCAAAATTTGTGACGGGGCCCATGTAGCACGGGGAAGGTCGCAATTCGTGGGCGGGAACACCTCTCGATCAACGCCTCTACCATGCACGTTTTTGCCTTCCCCTCCTTTTGTCCTCAAGAGGGCGTTTTCGCCGACACTGAACTTTGGGGGGAGCCATACTTGGTATTGGTTGGTTGTCAGTGTCGCTTCGACCTTGGGGGAGTCATACTGTGATAGTTGTTTGGTACTTGCCGTGGTCTCCACCTCACTCCCAGTTCAGCATCTCACACCGACTGACTCGCTGGACGCATGCCTCTAGGGGCGGCTCCTTTTGGGGGCCTGATGCGGCGGAAGGAAGGAAGGAAGGAAGGAAGGAAGGAAGGAAGGAAGGAAGGAAGGAAGGAAGGAAGGAAGGAAGGAAGGAAGGAAGGAAGGAAGGAAGGAAGGAGGGCAGGCAGGCAGGCAGGAAGGAAGGAAGGAAGGAGGAAGGAAGGAAGGAAGGAAGAGAGAGAGAGAGAGAGAGAGAGAGTGATGGGAACCGAGATCATGCGAGGTCTCACGGCCGCCGCTCAACTGGCATGACCCGATGGAAGGGGGGACGGTAAACGGGGGCTAACCAGGCATGGGGGGATAAAAGGGGGAGAAACAGAGCGGCCATGCCAGTCGGAATAAACCGTTCCCAGCTCCACCCCGGAAACAGGGGCGGGCGTAGACGCCCGGGGGCTTCGGCTCCCATGCCCTTCGAAAGAAAGAAAGAGAGTGAGAGAGAGAGGGGAGCGGGGAGAGAGGGAGGGGGAGAAGGAGAAGGAGAGTGATTTAGTCAGATTTATCCCTTCTGCTCGTGTTCTATATTGTTCACAGACTGTACACACCCCCCCCCCCCCCCCCCCCCCCGCCCCTCCTTTGTACAGAAGGAAGCCTCTGAGGCGATGTTCATCGAACACCGGCGTTGGCGTTCGGCCGAAGGGCACCCAGAGCAGCTGCAAGCTGCCCTGGACAAGACACCTCCCGGGCTCCTTTCGTCAATTTAGAAAAATATAGGCAAGGACGAATCCTCATTCTACATGATGCTAGATAGGTCTGTAAAAGGCGAAGCGAGCTGTCAGAGACTCTTTACGTTCTGAGCTTTCTTTCCTTCCTCTCTCGCAAACGTGCCCGGCGGGCACGTCTGCGAGCCGGTACGCGTCTGAAGAGAGGTGCAGAGACGTTGTGCCAAGTGTAGCCTAGAGGGCCTATAGAAGATACTTCTATAGAAGCTTTAGTGGCATCTCGTCTCAGGTTCTGTTCGTCAGGGCCCAAGGACCCGGGTGCCTGTGATGGCACGCGCGTGCTGCTCGTCCAAGGGGCCCGCTACCAGCTGGGGGCTGCCGAACCCGAGGCGCCATCCCATAAGACTCTAAGATACTATAAGAGTTTACGGTGCATCGGTTTTAAGGACGGTTCAAGGGAGGTTGAAAGGAGGTCCAAAGGAGATGGCAGCACCACGTCTTGGCTTTCAAGGGCTAAGCAGTGGGTGAGACCACCCCCCCAAATCCCCTCTTGAAACCCTATCAGTGGGCGTGGGGGTTTAGGAAGTTCTCAGGAAGCATGTTAGTGGGCTCCAGGAGTACACTTTGGGGATCTGCCGTGTGCTGGACGAGATCTTTGAGGATGCCGACGACGAGCCTGTTGGCAGCATCCGGAACCCAACTATACACCAGATACACATACATGTATATATATATATATATCATTACTATTATTCTTATTCTTATTCTTATTCCTATTCTTATTCTTATTCTTATTATATTGTCCTTGTGTGTTTGTTCTACATCTTACTGTACGCCTGTATGATTCTTCAGCTCCCTATAGAAGCCCTCACAGTTCAACTCAGAAAGGTTCTTTTCGGGCGGGCAAAACCAAATCTCAGGGCTCGGGTCACGGTGCTCATCGACGTACGCCGGGGCGAAGGCTGGCCAAACCCCCCAGACCCTTAGCTCAGAGTATTGAAGCTGCACATTTGTTGTGCAATTTGCCGAAATCCACTATCTGGGTTTTTACAGTTCAAACACATCACGCTGAGGCGATCAAGCTCCTCCCCTTCATCCAAGCCTGCGCTCGGATCATCTCGGGCCACTATCCTGAGCGCCTCCGGCGGTTGAGCCTCAGCGGCATCCAGCACTAAAGTGTGCTGGGAGGGGTAGGGCGGAAATTAGCGGGAGGGGGAGTAAGCTTCCTAAATTGCGGGTGTCCTGCAAGGAAGAGGCCCACAAAGATCAAACCTTCCAGAGATGCTTTGGGGGTTCAGCCAGGCCATGCTTGCTGTTGCAAGAAAAGACAAGCCGTCCCTGGCAGGATTATTTATCCGGTGCCTTGGGTAGCCACGATGATCCTGGGCATTGCCTGCAGCTTACTGGTTTCCTGCATGCTGTGAGCATCACCTCCCCTTCTTAATGGGCTCTTTTTTGTGGCTCTTGGACCAAAGGTGAGACGCCTCCTTGACCCAGTGACCTTCGAGAAGATCGCGGCCATCGCCGGCGACGACCAAATTGGAGCTGCCTGTCCTGGCGCTGAACTCCGGAAGTACGTCAGCAGGGACAGCTTGCCAAAACATGCCTGGCCGATGCATGAAGATCTCTGACACAAGGTCACCCCGAGAAGTGCACGTAGAGTGCAGGTGCCTGCGAAGCAGGCTGCGAAGCAGGAGTGTGTCTGACTTTGTGGGGATGCCGAATTGGCCCCTGCAGCACCACCACAGCCTTGAACAGTACGAGCATCGCATGGCACTGGCAGTCTCTGGCAGTCCTCTTTCAGCGCTCGCTTTCCACAAAGGTCGGCAAAACGGCAAAACTGGAGTTTGCAAGCCGATTTTCTCAACCGCCACAGTCGCAGCAACAGATGCCGTGGCTTGCACGGGCAAAGCAATCTGAGGTGGCGACGTGTCGGCGGGCGGCTCGGTAGCTGCGCTATGCTACGACGTGAGCAGAGTAAGAAAGAAGCGTGTCCGAAGTGTGTAGTTCCCAGTTGGAGAAACGTGAAATGCAAAAACACAGTCGGAGGCCGCACAAGCCGAGTGCCTTTTCGTGGCCACCCTGCAGGACACCAGCAAAGAGGCCAGCGCTTGATCCCTCAGAGCATGCACTTTCCTTGTGGGTAAGCAAAGTTGATGGTCTCTCCCTTCTGCACAAAATCGATGACCCTGGCTTTTCCGGCCTGCGCACACTCGCTCGCGCGCTCGCCCTTCGCGACTCTCTCGCCTAGGCGCCTGTGCGCTCCGGAAAGCAAAGCCGCAAACGTCTCAAAACAGCATCTGCAACATCGCAAGTACTGTTGCACTCGGCTTCTAGGCTTAGTTTCGAGCTCTCCCACCGAAGCCATTCTTGGCAAACCAAAACTAGATTGGGGGGAATACGGGTTTTCATCTCAAGCCCGAAGCCTTGTAATCTTCTTTACCCGGGACTCCGGACCATCCGAGCCGTGCACTACACCGCAGCTCGCGTTGCACTGGGGACCACTGTGACAACCAGGAATTGGGATGAAGCCGTGGTCCGGGGACAAAAGGCGTGGCCTTCATGCGCCTTCTGCTGCTTTGTCAGTGTCGGCCACGAAGCTAGGCTGGTTCCGGTCTAGGGCTCCCAGAAGTATTTTTGAGAAACGGTGCCAGTTCTCGCTCTCGCCAGGTCCCGTGGGCGCCCCCGTGCACGAGTCACGAAAGTGTGTTTTTCGCCTCGTCCCGGCGTTGCCCCGTGTCGCGAAGCTGTGGGATGAGTTCGCCTCGCGCGCCCCCTCTCGCAGATTCGCGCGTGGCGGTCGCGCAAACATGGGGCTCTCGCCTCGGTCCTTTGCTGTCCGGGTCACTGGTCCGAAACCTCTCGGGGGTGGTCTGATAAGGGTTTCGACTCAATTGGCACTGGGAGCCACGTGGAGTGCTCAAATTGGAATGCTTCCTCTCACTTGAATTGTGCAGCCGGCTCTCCCGGAGGAACTCAGAATTTTGTTACACCGCAAAGATTGTTCTCTCTTGAGAAAAGCGCCGCTCGCGCAGGTGAGGCTCACAGCGGCCGCCTCTCTGACAAAGCTGGGCCGGAGCCCTGGGAGGGCCAATCTTTTGTTCAAGCATGCCATGTTACTACTAGTATTGATACTATATAGGAGATCCGAGAGGAGATTGCAGGGGCTCTCACTGGAATTTCTTGGTATTTCTCACTTCTCACTGCTGGACCCAGAGAATAGTCCTCTCCTAAGTCGATTGTCAGGTGGCCTCTACACGCAGCAGATTGCCCGGGCCCAAGCGGCTAGCATGGGCTTTGTTGTGAGCTGCGAGGAAGTGGCTGTGGCGCGGTAGGTTCAAGCCTGCCCAGCACTCCAAAAAGCCTCGCAAATGTGTCAGGGAAATGAGGTCCTATGTTGAAAGAGTACCAAAACTGACACAAAAAGCTTCTTGGCCAGAACGTCAAGAGCTACTCACTGGAGGGTTTCGCAGGAAGTGCATGGAAATGTGAGTGTTCTCTGCAGCTCTTTGAAGAACAGGCCGAGGCCCTGGCGATGGCTCTGGAAGGCAGGGTGGGGAGCACTTCCACGGAAGGATGCGAGAGCCAAAGCGCAACTCCCGGAGAGTTCTCCGTCAGCGGCTAAGATCTTCCATGAAGGCTTTTCCTCAGTGCTTGGGCGTGAGCATGTTGGTTCGCACGATGGGACGATGGGACAAGATGACACAATACGGACAAGTAGCCATTCCACGGGCCTTCCTTTCCCCCTTTGTGTGCAACCCCTGAGCTACGTGAAGCCTGTATATATGTATAACTTCCAGTAACCTTTGCCAGACTGCTTCGACTACAGGGCCCCTGGTGCCCCTTGAGCCATTGAATCCCCTTGACAGATGAGAGGTGTTTCTTACGTAGGTGTTTAAGGGCCTGGAGCCTCGTAGCCATGCCGCGACCCGCGAAGCCACAACTGGAGCCAAGCCAGTGTGATCAAGGCCCTAAGGGACAGATCCAGTATATGGAGTACCGTTCGCTATAGGCACGTCTGCAGCCATAGTGTGTGAATATTGGAGGATATTGCATTGATAGTGGCAGTTGTATGGGCAGTGATAGGATATGGTATCAGCGGAAGAGTTCTCGCAAGTCGTGGCAGCTACTGTACTTAGTCGTCATCCAGTTGTTGCGGTGGTGGCGGCTAATTCTTGGGCACACGTGTCGTACATGAAGCAGTATCGGTCACTATCACGCCCTCGCGGCGTCCTCGCCCCAAATGCTTTGGAGGCTCGGTGCTCTTGGCGGCCTTGACCAGTGAGGTAGAACGGCTGCAGCAGCAACTACGACAACTGGATGGCAACGGCCAGGCGACGTCGGTCCAAACAATGAAATGTCCTCTGAGCACAGATAAAAACTCTGCATATCTCTGCGTAATTTGAAGACAGCACATTGTGTGTTTCTTCGCAGGTAGGATACCCTCAGTTGTTGAACCCTCGTTGTCCCGCGTCTCTTATTGTCAGCAGACGACCGGTGAGCCGGGCTCAGACCTAGAGGAGTGCTGGGGCTCGGGCTCGGGCTCGGGCTCAGAAAATGATCACACACAGGCGAAGCAGAGACCATGCCGCCGAGCTATCCCAAATCTTTAGAAACTGGTCAGGGTTCTGAGCTGAAAGGCAAGCTGAAATTGCCCAACCCCGCTCTCAAAACCTCGAAGCCTACGTCACAGTCCATGTCAATGAAATTGAGTGTCGAGGCATTGCGGCAGTTGGTTTCCAAGGTCGCGGAGGTCTCGGCGTGACCCGGACAGAAATCAGAAAAACATGAGCACCACCCTACGGGAGTCGCAGAGGAAGAAGGAAACTCAGAGCAGAGATCCTCTCGAACATTTTGTTTGTTATTGTGCTTCTCCGGACTTTCTTTGCGCCCCCCCTCCACAGTTTGCTCTGGAGAGGGGCGTGTGCAACGAGCCGAAGGTGGAGGCGCGCGCCTGAGAGGCGGAATGTCGGTTAAAAGTGCCCACGGAGTGCGGAAGTTTGCGGAATTTGAGAATTGCCGCTGCAGGAAGATGCAAGGCTCCCACCTCAGCTGTCCTTCACAGGACCACAGAATGACCAGAGCACGTGGTAGCCCAAGTAGGCAGAGGCCGCTGACACCAAGGTAACCTTACAAAAGCTTGCATTATGTACTACGCTTCCTTAAGATGTCGGAGGTGGCAGCCGCGTCCGAACATGGCACCGTACGGGCAAAGCCTGACTGAATCCCCACACTCTGGTGATGGAGAGACGTCATGCGCACATACTTCTGCTATCCAAGGCCAAAGGTATCGTGGCAACTCCAAGTACAAGGCTCAGATCGCACAAGAAGGAGCCACGTGCTGCCGGGCAGTTGGGCCTCACGCTAAATCACGACCCAACACTCCTTCCACCCTTAAGGCCCAGATCAACCCCCAGCTGTCGGCTTGTTACCGCTACTGGCTACTCAGGCACCTGGCACGTAAGGTCTTGATCGGGACGAGCTATCTGAGCTTTGAAGCACCTTTACAAAACAGCATTATCTAAATTCCCCTGGAGCATCTTGCCAGAGTGCGCAAAATGCAAGTAACCAGGACGACTTCTTCCAAACCGCGCCCCACAGCCATGCCAGTGCGACTTGGCTTGTGGAGGTAGGTTGAGGCCAACATTTCAGAACGGCTATAGAGATGAAGTCGTCGAGCCGTTGAGTGGTTTACCATCGGTTTTTTTGCCCCGTGGCCTGTCGCGTGTCTCGAGAGCTTATAAGTTCTTTGCTTATATGCCAGGCGCCCACGCTACACAATGCTCCGGGCATTAGACGACGAGGCCGAAGGCGCGGCCCAGGGGGACAACGGGGACAAGTAGAAGCACAACGAAATTGAGGTCAGAAACCATCAGAAGCAAATTCTTCTTCGGGGCAGCCTCTGCGCCACCCACAATCGCCTGCAGGCTTGGAGACCGTGGGCGCCAAAGATGTGCGCAGGGTCCGCGAAGATCTCTTGAAGCTCCAGTTCCGACGGTGGCCTGGCTTTCGCTGCAGGAAATGTTCTGTGGTGTCTCGCGGTCCCTGGCATTCCCCTGGCGTCTGTGCTCCTCACCTTGCGTTGCCATGCTGTGCTTACTTTTACGGGGCCGCCACCGGCAAAGTGCCAGGCTGGATGCCAAGAAGGAAGGATATCTAAGCAACTCGGCTGCTTCTGCAACTGTTTAACTGTTTCTGGTGGCTTCAGGGTTCGACAAATAAAGGACACCCGCAGCTGTAGGTGCTGGTGCCCTGGCTCAGCTTGGAGCACGTTTTGGGGAGAAGATCTCCGAGACCGACGTGACACACCTGTGCCACCGACGAAAAGGGGTTTTTGAGCAAGTTTGAGCACTGAGAGAGGCCACTAGGAGTTTGCAAAAAGGACAAATCGCAAGTTCAGGCTTTGTCTGGTCTTGTGTGGTGCCTTGAGGTGCCAGAACATGGACAAGCAGGGCTCATCAGAACCAGTCAGGCTCCCCGAAGCCGGGGCGAAGCCGGGTGATCCACCTCGCAACCGGAAACTCAGGGACCTTTGAATCGGAGCGAACGTGACCCGGGGCAAAGAGCCCTGTAGAGTTGATGGATTGAATTAAGCGGACTTGTGGGAACAGGCCAATGGGCTGGTAGAGAGAAGTACGAACCGAAGCCTTGCCAGCTGCGTGCGGGTGTGAGAGAGTCGAGATTCAGAGTGGAGCTGGTTCCCGCCGAAGCACCCATTCGGTTGCTTTCCATGTCTACGAGTCTGCATTCTATATAGGCACGATTCGGCATGATTCGTACTAGACTCGGTCATGCTCAAAATGCTTCTCTGCTGCGAGGGCCGCCGTCGACTTCGATGGCTTCTGCTCCTTGATGTCGCCCGAGGAAGAAGAGTGCCCAGCCTTCAATCCGTCTCTTCGTAAGAAACCCCGTCAAGTGGAGTTGATTTTTTGGGGTTTCTTTTTGGAGCTGAGGGACTTGGATGAGGCTGTGGCTTGGTGGCGCTTAGGAATGGCGTCGAGTGCCTGTTAATGTTCTCTAGCATGTTGAGCATGTGGGAGCATTTTAAACCATGTTGGAAGTACCTTTTAGAACATTTGAGAGAGGGCATTTGGGAGCATATCGGAGCATTGGTGAGCACTTGCGAGAACCTTTCTGACCATGTTAGCAGCATGTTCTTGAGCGTTTTGGAGCATTTTGCAAGATTTGAGGAGCATGTTGGAGCATGTTAAAATAGCACTTTGGAGCAATTTGGGAGGCAACGACACAGCCCCTCTTACCTTCCACCAGCAGTGTGCTAGCACCGGGCTGGGGTCACAGAGCCACAACACAACCCCCAAAGCCAGCACACTATTAGCTGACTCTACTACTATTTACGCACTTCTAAGGGAGATTTGGGCTGTCACGTCCTCGTCCGCTTCTAGGGGTTTTTGCGTTGTCACGGTCTTGTCCGCTTCTAGTGGTTTTGGGCTGTCACGGTCTCGTCCTCTTCTACGGGTTTTGGGTTGTCACGATCTCAGGCGCTTCTAGGGATTTTGGGCTGTCACGGTCTCATGGGCCCTGTAAGCAGCTATGGCATTGCAAGTTGAGAGTGGGGATTTTGTTTGGCTTGTTCTGCCGCCTTTCTTGTGAGGTCCAGGAGACTCTCGCCGCTATCAGGCGCCTACAGTAAACCCCAAAAAGTTGGAGACCTTCAAGAACAAATAGTGTTGGGATTCCCTATACTTTACTCTTAGGGATTGAGGCTACTGAGTTTCCAACTTTTTGGCTTCTACTGTACAGAGCCGGGGGGAAAGCGACCACGTAGTGTAACCAGCACGGCCGATGGGAACACCTCAATTGCTGCGCGGTTTTGCAATGTTTTGCATCCTTCTGAGAAGGCGGGCCGTCCGAGCAGAGGCCAAAGAGAAGCTCCAAGCTGAGCAGGCGCTCCGAAGTCAAAACTTTCCCCTTAGAAGTCAACGCTGTGCGAACGAGAGTGCCGGCCCGCTGCAAGAAGCGAGCAGAAGTTCTGCTCAAGGAGAGGTCCCAAACCAGGTCCACAAAACAGCACCCCCACGGCCCGGGCGCAAGACCCGCCGAAGGGAAGGGGGATAGAGCCAAAGTGATTTTTTGTGGGCGGGGGCGGGGGCGAGGGTCGGAGGGTCCTAAGGGTCTTCTCAACGCCCTCGGCGGCCGGGAGTTGTTTGTGTGCACGCTTGCTGCCTTTGCTGGGAGGGTTGTTTTGCTTGGCTGCGGTGCAGGATCGGAAGCTCCACACAAGCGCGCACCGGATGAGGGGCATTTGCGCTGCTGGGCCTGAAGTTTCGGAAACATGAAGTCTGGAAGCTCACTCGCTTCGTACGCTTTCAGCATCCCAGGCTGTCGTCTTCGATGTCGTCTCCGTGGCACCCTGAGAGCACTCTCGTAGAATCGGAAGCACAAAGATCCAGACCGATGGGTCTTTGAGCTCAAAAGGTCTTCGTGATCATTGCGAACGCACTTGTCATGGGCTTCAGCACCGACCTGTCACCCTCAAGTCCTGGATGGGACGTGGCAGAACTGGAGCCTTGGATCAGAGAGAGAGGGC